CCGTGAGGGGTGGGGTCCCTCTTTGTAAAAAAAAAAAGGTGGGGTGCGGGGGGGGGGGGGGGGGGGGGGGGGGGGGGGGGGGGTAGACCCACTGTCTCTTTAACAAGCATCTCACAAAAGTCGACAAATAAGAGGATTCATTCGAAGTTGAAGTGCATTTTACTGAGAAGCAAGAAACTAACAGTCTGCATACAAATAAGCGAGATCTATAGAACGGACGTGCATGCAAAACAGCTGGTGAACATGTTAAAGATTGTTGTGTATCCTTTACAGGACATTGAAGAACCAGTCCCAGCATTGTTATCCTTTTGTGGTTTTTTTAGGCAAATTTACGTTCAGTAGTTTGCCATTGCTTTCTGGGTGGATGGATATACCACTGTCAAAACCAACGCAAGGCTTGCAGCTGGGATCGAACCCGGCACCCCGACATTACAAAGCTCGCTCACAACGCCTGAAATAGAAGTGTTTAGGTGGTAGTAGTGGGACATGAGTTGTTGTTAGTGATCCAGCGGCGCATGAGCTTTCGCCCTTTGGCCCAATGCCATGTAGTGGAATTTGCATGTTTTCACAAGCTGTTCTTTTCCTCCGTACAAGGTGTTCCACTTGTCTGGTCTCGGAGGGAGTAGCGTTCTTCTAGTTTCGCTGAGTTTTGGGCACTCAAAGAGATGGTGGTCAACAGTTTCGTAGGGGTAGTTACATAGCTGGCACTCTGGGGAGTGTTGTGGCTGTATTCTGTTTAGGTGTCCACTGAATGGAGTATGTTGCGTTCTAAGTCTGAAGATGGTGGCCTGGTCCCTTCTTGTTAGATGGTTAATGCTGTCATTAGGATCAGGGCCAGCCATATGTCTATAAACCTTTCTTCCAGTGTCTCCCATGGCCCATCTGTTCAACCAAGTCTCTTTGTTTATAACTCTTATAAGTGTTTTTGCTGTCTGGAGGGTTGTCGCTGTAGGTGGTTGTTCTTGTGTTGCTCCTTTCTTTGCCAATCTGTCAGCTCTGTCATTACCTGGTGTGCCGGAGTGGCCTGGAATCCACTGCATCACTATTCTGATGTTGTATGAGGTAATAAGCTGATTAGCATCCAGGATTATCTTGGCTATGTCAGTTCTGCAGCGTTCACTGCCCTCCAGAGCTACCCATGAGTTGAACTGAGCTTAGTTAAGAACCGATATCACAGCACTGGGGGCATTCCCAAAAGTCTCCGTCCCCCTCTTCAGCAGAAATCAAAGTGTTCTAATTAGGAAGGTACAAGTAGCAGTCTGCTGGTATGTCTGTGTTGTCTTTCCCCTGAGTATAGAGTGTTGGCCACTCCTCGTTGTACCTTTCTCTTTAAACTGTGATAGTCTTCTTGTGCCTTCGCAGTCCACTCACACCCATCTCACTGGGGTATACCAGGAAACAACACCGCAGATACATTTGCTAGAAGGTGAACATGAAGAGACAAGTGAAATATTTTAGCCACATTAAAAGACATAACAGTATTGTAAAGATCATCCTAGAGGAAAAAGATTCAAGGTGGGCGAGCAAGAGGCAGACAGCATTACAAGTGGGAGGATAACATCAAGAGATGGATAAACAGCAGTATGAGTGAGTGTACATCAAGGGCAAGAGACAGGGCTTGTTGGAGATACATTGCAGCCAACCTTCATTGTGGAGACGGCACCTGATTGATTGATTGAACATGAAGAGAAATGTTGTAACATACAATGGGAAGAAAATGACCATCAGCTCTATCAGAAATGAACAGAGTCTGGCGATGATTTCCACTTACTTGACTGGCATGGGCATGTCATTATCCTACGTCCCAGGACAGGACATACAGAACTTAACCAGCCTATGCACAGGCTTTGCGTAAGTAGCTCACCATTCTGCCCTTATGGGCTGTGTGTGCAGACTACAGAACATGTCCAGTAAGAATATCTCTTGTACAGCCCATTAAGAAGGGAATACTGGCCCACTGAGTCAACACTGGACTCAAAAGTTGTTAGGAACTAAAAGGGAACTCCTAAAAATAGTCAAGTTCATCACAAAAACTTGTCTGTCAGTGTTAATCAGGAAGCGACCACAAGAAAAAGAAGAATGTTGAATTAAGAATCAACATCACAGCACTCGGGACACTCCCATAAATGCTCAGTCCGTACCTTCAGCAGCAAGCAAAGAGTTCTAATTCTGTTGGTACCAGTAAGCGTCTGATTATATATCCATCTCATCCTTCCACTGGGTTTTGAGCGTCGGCCAGATCCCCTGGTAACTCCTCGCAGCGCCATTCTCCTCAGACCGTAATGATATATCTCTGCCTCGGCACTGTTCACTGGCTCCTAAAGGGCCCTCACAACATCCAGCTTGTCATACATCAGTTCCCCCGTGTGGGTTCCGGGGCCCTATTGTAGGGGAAAACAAGAATAGACCCACTGCATCCCCAAAAGCATGTCGTAAGAGTCGACTAACTGGGGAGCTTCCTTTGAAGTCGGAGTGCATCTGCCGGAGAGGCAAGGAACCAACAGTCTGTATTCAAGAGAATGAGATCTGTAAAACTGATGCACACGCAACACTCAGGTTCTGGAGCAGGACTGCAGTTCAGTAGTGGACGAACAACCAGAACTTTCCGCCAGAGTGTACAGCTGGTGAACGTGAAGAAGAAGAAGATACATCAGTTCACCACCAAGTGCTGCAGAACCGGCCAGTATCTGATTAGTCATTTCCCAACACACTGGCATGACCTAGATAAAATATCCAAAGGATGCTAACTACCCAGGACCTCTGAAGTGATGCTTGCCACGGGGTATGCCTGTCTCCACCTTTCTCAACATGCTCTGTGAGCCAGTTACAATGATGGCATGTGTGTACAGCTGATTCTCAAGCCAGCGGAAGGCAGCAGTGACTGCCTCCACCTCCATTCTCAAACTTGACAAGAAGATGAAGACTGTAATGACGATCTTGTGCCTCCGCTCACCTCCAAAGGATACTGACAACATCTAGATTGTCTGGATTCAATTTACCATCTAGTGGTGCAGAACCAGCTGGTTTGATTCCATAAAACCACCTGTATATCTTGTAGAAAATATCCAAAGGGCGGTAATGACCTGTGATGTAGCAGTCCAAATAAATGATAGTTTGTAAGAATTTAAAAAAAAAAAACAACTTACAAATCACATTTCTTTCAGAGAACTTATTTTATTATCTTCAGTATCAAATATCTAGCAATAAACAAAGGTTAAGCGGGTCCATCTAGGTCAAAATTAAAGTCAAATTAAAGTAATAATTGAAGGAGAAGGTGCTTTCCTAATATCCTACCCCAAACAAGGGAAATTCACAGGTCCTGGGACACTCTAATATTTCAGGGGGTGGTAGATAGGCTGCATGCAGTCGTGGGACCTAGGCTGCACACTCTCGTGGGACGTAGGGGGGTTGGGGTTAGGGCCAGTTCTAGATGTTTTGGGGTCGTTAAGAGCATCAGAAAGCTGGGAAACCCAGTCTTACCACTCTCTAAAATGTTGGACTGTCTTGTGACGTCATCTGGGGTAGAATATTAATAAAGAACCAGAATCTAGGTTTTAGTGTAAATAAAACTGAGACCAAAACTGCAGTAAAATACAGAAGCAATAAAATCTAAATACATTGTAAAGTACAATTTATGTGAAAGTTGAAGTAAAATTCGATGATGATGATTTTAATTTGGTAGTTTCCATCACTGTGGGTTCTAGGTCCAGTTTGTGGTGGGTGGGTGGGTGGAGAAGGGGGAGAACAGAATCACTGCAACTGCTAACATGCCTGTCACCCAAAGCAACTAATTGGGGAGTTTTTCTTCAAAGTCAGAGTGTATCTGTCTGAGACACGAGGAACCCACAGTCTACATATACGTAAGCTCAACCTATAAAAAGTATGTGCACGCAAAACTCAAGTTCTGGAACAAGACCGAAGTCCAGAAGTGGATGAACAACCAGAACTTTCTGCCAGAGTTTATTGCTAGTGAAAGTGAAGAAGAAGAATTTAGTTCAGGTCTGTCTAGACATTATCTCTCCATCGTCTTCTTGGTCTGCCTCGTGGTCTATAACCATTCAGCTCCCTTGTGTATACAGTTTGTACCTCTCTGTCATCTGACATTCTGTCAATATGTACCAGCCATTTCAGTCAAATAGACCTCATTGTGGCAGGGGTAAATAGTGATTTAACTCTTTGAGTCCCAAGGAACGCATCATACGTTCATAGGTTCCTACCTAGAAGCCCAATGAACGCATGATGCGCCGATTTTATTACTTTCTTTACTACCCCCTGGGCCTGTGATGCTAAACCTCCTGGGACTCAAAGAGTTAAACAGAATATTAATTTCACTGTGCTTCTCACTCTCCACTTCCGCTGTGCCCTTTCAAGAACACAAAATTTAGAGACTGGACAGCTGACAAAAGACACGAGTAGCTCTCCAGTGTGGAGTGATGAAAGTGATGTTCTGCAAAGCACTTGCCACATTTTCATGACTTACTGATTTAAGAAACAACATCACAGCACAAAAGGTATACCCACAGGTGCTTGGTCTCCCGCAGCAAATGTCTTTAGGTGTAGATGCTAACTGCTCCTGTAGCACACTTATTATAAAGTAATCTTTCTCTTATATGTCTCTCCTTGCCTGATCCACATCTAATTTTCTCGTTCACTCATTCTTACACGTTATTTTATGTAACCTTGTGTCTTCTGTCAGCATTTGTTCATAATGGTCTTAAGAATGTTTTTTTTGTCTCCAGTATGCATGTTCCTGTAGTTATTGCTTTTGTAGCCAGAAAATCACGCTTTTATTTCTTTGCACTCCTGCATTCAGTTTTTCTTCCAGTCCCCCTATTACCAACTCTTTTCTTCTTCTCCTTTCTTACTCCCTTCTCCTACCCATACCAACATTTTCTGTGAGTATCAACATCAGAGATGATAAGTTTAAAATCTACTTGGTTAAAATGTAATGCCACTACGGCAATCAAATAAACTGACGTTTTATATCATGGCTGTTACAGTCACTGATTCATCTCAGCAACAACTTTTTGAATCTCTGATCTCAGAGAGTTCAGACCCTCCTTGAACTTGTTTGGGACTCCTGACCCTCTATTGGCAGCTGCCGCAGCAAGTAAAGCGCCCAGTGCTGCTCCACGGTGGCAATTTTCACCTAGGGTAGAATCAAATTTAAAACACAATAGTTACAATTATCAGTATTCACACACAACAATATTACTAGGCACTCTGTTGTCAATGTAAGCAAATAGCAGCAAAAGAAATGTGTTCTTTACAAATAAATAAAAACTGCATCATAGTGATGCAACTAATGAGCGGAAGATCGTAACAACAGAGATGAGATGTCTTAGGAACAGACAGGGCGATTTTTATACACTACACATCCTCATTCACTATTAATTCCTATAACATTTAATTTAGCATTCACTTCACCATTAAATTTATTTTCCATTTAGAACCCACTAATGCTAGTTGCATTATGTAACAATTATTTTCAAAATTCGACCAAAGTACCTCGTATTACATTCTGTTCTCCATCTTCTTCAGCACTCCGTTGATTTATCATCATCATGTACCCTGCTGATAAATGTAGACAGTTCCATTTCTTCTTCTTTATTCACCGGCTGTTAATCTCCAGTGGAAGGTCCCGGTTGTTCGTCCATGTAGACTTTGGCTTTGTGCCAGGGCCTGATTTTTGCATGTACATCCGTTTTACTGCTTATTTGTGTACAGCTGATTGTTCCTTGCCTCTCGGAGAGATGCACCCAACTCTGAAGGAAGTCCCCAATTAGTGGACTCTTAAGACATGCTTGTTGAGGAGGCAGTAGGTCTATTCTTATTTTTTCCCGCAATGGGGTCCCGGAACCCACAGGATGAACGTAGGCAGCTACGTTTCACTATACCAAACGATCTTCAGAATCGAGGATCAAGCCAGTGCTCTTCTCCCCTCATCCATACGGCTAAGCCATCCAGGTATATATCTCTCTGCCTCTTCCCCGCCTTTGAGCATATCAGACATATAAGGCTAGACCTTTACTCTACAGACCAATCGGCACTTGGTGCGTGATGTGGTGAACAGCACACTGACCGCCTTTACTTACCAGGACCGTTCCTGGTACCCATTTAGGGCTAGGCTGACCTGTGAGCCAAGGTAATTAAAAAAAAAATTTTGCCCCATCAGGACCCGAACCCAAGATCTTTCAGTCCACAAGCGAGCGACTAGCCACTACACCATGGCGGCCCTATATACTGTAGCAAAAAGAATAATTACCCCCACAGTTGGCGTTGGTCAAAACTCCAGCCTCAAAATCATCATGAAACTGAAGTGCCAAAAACAGCATCGAGTTCAGAGCTCCCTCAATATAACATGCGGATCCCAGGGTTGCAATTACTTTCTGGTATTGCTTCAGTCTCTCTTCGGAGCCTTTAGGAATTCTGAGGACATGGTAAAACGATAGGTTTTAAGTGACAATGTTATCTGTTGTTGCTCAATAATAAAGCGACAATTTTATCTGTTGTTGCTCAATAATAAAGTGAAAATTTTATCTGTTGTTGCTCAATAATAAAGTGACAATTTTATCTGTTGTTGCTCAATAATAAAGTGACAATTTTATCTGTTGTCCCTCAATAAAAAGTGGCAATTTTATCTGTTGTTGCTCAATAATAAAGTGACAATTTTATCTGTTGTTCCTCAATAAAAAAGTGGCAATTTTATTTGTTGATCTACAATAATAAAGCACCAATTTTATCTATCGATCTTTAAAAATATAGTGAAAATTTTATGTGCTGTTCTTCAACAATAAAGTGACAATATTATCTGCCGCTACTTAAACGTTAAAGCTCATTACTTACTGTTCAATCTCACTCGATATGAAAAGGATCCGGTCCCGGTTTCCTGGACCTCCCAGAATTGAGTGACCAAGAACAGCCATTATCTAATGGTCAGAATCAAGACAATACTTTCATTTATACCTTTACCAAAATTGTCTGGAAACCAGGGTATGTGTGATCAGTGGTACTTATTTATCTTTAGTCTTTGGAGGTGGAGGCCGTAACTGCAGCTCTCCGATGACTAGAGAACAAGATGCATACACATGTCGTAATTGACTCTTTAAGACATGCTGAGAAAGGTTGAGTCAGGGATGCTTCTAGCAGAGTGGTAAGCTTCACTGGGAAGGTCACAGGTAGTGAGCATACTTTGGATCTTTTCTCCAGGCCATGCTGGGGTAGTGGGTAATGAACAGGCTGATGGATTGGCAGGATCTGCACCATTGGGTGGTGAATTGATACATGACAAGGCAGAAGTGGTCAAGGCCCTTTGGGAACAAGCAACGGAATCAGTACAGAAACAAGATTATTATGGCCTGGAGAGAATGAGGCACCTGGGTATAACCAGAGAGTTTGGCCAGCTCACTACACTCCAACTTTCCTACTATCTCGATGTACTCCAGTTTTCTCTTTCCCATCACATGATCAAAAAATCTAAATTGTCTCTTTCTAATGTGGGCAATCAGTTCTCTTCGTAAGTCAGTTTCTCTCAAGACATCTTCATTACTCTTGTTATCTGTCCAGGGTATTCTCATCATTCGTCTATAAAACCACATCTCCACAGCTTCCAAATAAATATTACAAATTTGTCTGCAGAGTTTGGAGGCAACTGAGATGCGGTTCTTGAGAAGAATGTTGCGAATACCTTGAACTGCTAGAATAACCAACAATGATTGTCTGGAAATGGCTAATGAAAGTAGAACATTATATACAGCAATGAGAAGGAGACAAACAAAGTTTTTTGATCATGTGATGAGAAAAGGAGCAATGTAAAGTATCGTGACGACTGGAAAGATCCCTGGTAGAAGAGGCAGAGGCAGACCACAAGAAATGATGATGGATGGGTTAAGACAGTGGAATGGAGGAATATTATCAGTGGTGTTGAGATACAAGAACACCTAAGCCAGCTAGGCACCTGGTCTCTGGATAGTCAGATCGCACGCCCGTGTGCATTGTTAAGCACGTAAAAAATCCCTTGGCAGTTGGAAATTGAAACGATTAGCCTAACGGCGCTGCCCGGGCAAAATTTTGAGTGAAAAATCTACCCAAAGTATTTCAGGATCATCACCGGTGCTACAGAGCCTGTGCACTGTGCTGAGCTTCTTCGGACTCAGACTTGAGTTAGAAGAAGACATTTATGGGTTACTACCCGTGTGCCATGATGTTGATCTGTTGTTCAAAACATTAAACCTTCCTCATTTACCACTTTGGGTGTTGAGGGAGATACAAGCTTCTGCTTCCTGCTCTTCCGGCCACCTCGACCATAGACACTTTTGTAGAGTTTCTCTGATGTTATCGTTCCTTTTTATTCTTGGTTTAGCTCATGCTCTAGGTACATCTCCTCTTTTTGCGTATGCATTCTCTGTAAATGGGCAAACAATTTGATTTGCTGTCTTTGCATGTAATTTAGAATTGATTCTGTGCCGACTTGTTCTCTTATGATCTTAATCCTTCTCCTACAAAAAAGAAAGCAAAGAACACAAGAGTTTCTCTGATGTTATCTTTAATTTTAACCTTCGTCTACCTTGTGCTCTACGTCATTCTCCTCTTTTGGTTTACGCCTTGCATGTCATAGCAGAAACAACAACAAAACAAAAGAGGCTTACATGAACTGCTTACCTTCCCCTTTGCTTACCTCAGATTTCAAATCCCTGCCGTTAATAACTGAATGCAGCAGACGGGAGTAGCACTCAATGAAAGGAATTAAAGACGGCACTGGATGAGTCAGCTTAACAAAGTCTACAGTGTTCTGAGCGCAGTCTTTCTCCGACCTGTGAGCATTCCTGATGATCCAGGGAATCGCCGGCACCAGACTACCTACCACCGCCAGCTGATGGTCTGGTCGCTCCTGCATCATTTGTTTTGATCTAAGGAATAAAAGGGGTGAAGAAAACAGAAATGTTTCGGCCACTGCTGGTAACAAGTTATAAGATAAAGAAAGCAAAAATGAATGGACGTCGTTTAGTGCAACAAAATCTGGCATATGATATCACAACATTTAGTTTGAGAATGGAGGTGGAGACAGTCTCTGCTGCCTTCCGTTGGATTGAGAATCAGCTGTACACACATGTCGTGATTGTAACTGACTCAAAGAGCATGTTGAGAAAGGTGGAGACAGGAATGCTTCATGCAGAGTGGCAAGCATCATTTCAGAGGTCCCAGGCAGTTGGCATCCTTTGGATATTATATATTATATTTAATTATTGTATAATTAGTCGACTCTTATGATATGCTTTTTAGGGAGGTAATGTTTCTACATCCTCCTCCCCCCAATGGTGCAACAGAACCCCAAAAGGGATTTGATCATTGTTAATGTAATTACCTCACTATGTATTAACACACCGTCATGTTGCAGCATTTATTTACACACACACATGCCCGCTCGCATCATCATCATCATGTAGCAGGTCCTTTGCAGAACGTCGCTCTCATCACAGTCTGCCTGAAAGAAACTCGATCTCTCACTAGTTCTCCCGCCTCATGTATTTTCATCCTCAAGGAGTCACTTATATCCTGTGCCCATCTTCGTGTCGGTCGGCCCCTGCCCCTCCTTCCTGGTACCATGCCTTCTGCTATAATTTTTTCCAATCCGTCGTGGCGCTTGATATCACCAAAATATTTCAGCTTCCGAGAAAGGATGCTGTTTATTAACCAATCTTCCCTGATGTTCAGATCTTTCACGCACGCATACACACACAAAATACCTATTTTCCGCAAACTCCAAAAGCTCACTGGGTAATGTCGGTTTCCCTTTGTTCACCCAATCTCTGAAGAAAGATCGGTGAAAGGATTCGGCGTACGTGTCGTTGTGTGTGCCAGGGGTTGTCATAAACTTCACATACTCCTCAAGTACCGCCCCTCTGACATCCCTCTCCGGCTTCACAAGGTCAGGGTCAAACCTGTTTATGGTTTTCAGTTCATGGAGAGCCATAACTGCATTCAATGTGTTGTCTCCTGCTGCCATACCTGGATAAAAGTTTTCAATGGGATCTGTTCACGTTTGTCGTGATGCACAAATTTAATTCATAGCTTCTTGGACTCTTCTTGGTCACAGGGAAGTCCGAGCCTCTATCCGGCACCGGGGGTCGATTTACGGTGGTCATGAGGTTGACCTTTCATTCATAGCTTCTCGGACTCTCGGCGTGTGACACGTGGTGACATCGAGCACATCACCGCCGGCGGTGTTGTCCTCGGAAATCATTGAGACTAAGCTCACACCTCTGCGCCCCAGAGTAGTCCAAGATTCATGAATGAAATGGTGCGCCGGTGCGTAACCTACTTTCCTCATCATGGCAACCGTGAACAGATCGTTTCATTGTTGTAAGGAGTCATTTTTTCCTTAATTTTTCACAATCTATTCTGAATGGGTGGTCTTGAGAATAATGTATGAGTGAACAGACTGAGTGTAAAGGTGAAGTAAGCATGAATTTTACGAGGTAAGCATGAACTTTACGAGGTAAGCATGAACTTTACGAGGTAAGCATGAATTTTACCTAGGTGGCCAAAAGTCATGAGAAGCAGACAGTGTATGTTTTGGGTGAGAACATTCTAGAAGGAAAGGAAGAAGTTATTTCATCAATGAAAAACTGAGATAGTCTGGTCTTGTTTCCGTCAATTCTTGCTGGAGGTTGAAGTGTATGAACGGAATGAATCTTAAATCGAAGGCATGGTTGTTTAAATTTTCCAGCCCGGAGAAACCTGGCTAATCCATCCATGACGACACAGAATGGAGGAATGAAAGACTGCTGTGATCGTGGAGTTTTGGATGCTGTTTTGTGAGTTTGTGAGGGCAAGTGAGAGATGCACTGACAGTGTTAATCCGTATGTCTAATCAAGTACCAAAATGCTTATGAATACAACTAGGACACAAGACAATTTACCGCTGGCATTGTTTTGATCGAGAGGACATTGTTGCGGAATAAACTGAATTGTTATCAGCTGTTTGCTGTTTCCTCAACGTGTGTTCCTGTTCAAGTTTGCTGTGTGACAGTATTTGAAATTGTGACAGAGTAGACTGCATATGATTAGAGCCAGAGAGTCATTGCAACTGTTCAATTTGACCCTAAAAACTGATAGGGATCAGAAGAATAAATCCACAGGTGCTTTATCAATATCCTACCCCAAATGATGTCACAGGACAGCCCAACATTTTAGAGGGTGGTAAGACTGGGTTTCCCCGCTTTCTGATGCTTTTAACGACCCCAAAATATATAGAACTGGCCATAACCCCACCCTACCTACGCACCACGAGAGAGTGCAGCCTAGGTCCCACGACTGCAAGCAGCCTATCTACCACCCCCTGAAATATTAGACTGTCCCGTGACCTGTGGATTTCCTCTGTTTGGGGTAAGATATTAATAAAGCACCAATCCACATTCTTTGGGCACATCCTGAGAAAAGAAAACTGGAGTATGTCATGACCAGGGCCGTAGTTAGCATTTATGATGCCCCTGTGCAGTCATTTCTCCTGCTGGAGCCGCGTTAGCGCAGTCAATAGGAGGTTTGCTTTCAAACCCAGCTGCAGCCACGGTCCGTGTTCGAAACCGGGCAGTTCCCGGGGTTCACCTAGCCTCTAGGAAATGGGTACCAGAGTTGACACTCTGGGGTGAATAGAGGAACGTCGCTGTAGCTACAGAGTTACGTGTGGAAGCTGACACAGGCGGACAGTTTCTGTATCAACAGTCTGTACTGGTGGCAGAGCACTTATGGTTTTTAATCGCGTGCCGCTGGTTCACATCTCCCGACTTTACCTTTACCTTTCATTTCTTCTGCTTCTTCATGTTCACTTGCTGTAAACTACAGCGGACAGTTTTGGTTGTTCGCCCATCTCTGGTTTTTAGTCTGGTTCCAAAACCTGAGTGTTGCATGTACATCTATTTTACAGATCTGACGTCATTGTATGTAGATGGTCGGTTCTTTGCCTCTCAGGCAGACGAACTCCGACTTTAAAGGAAGTCCTCAATAGGTTGACACTTATGAAAAGCATATTGAGGAGGAAGTGGGTTTATTCTTGTTTTCCCCCACAAGAGAGCCACAGAACCCACACAGAGAAATTGCACTCGGGAACTGAATAGCACCCGTCGTGAAACAAACCCACGACCTTTTGAGAGTGAGGCAAATGGCTTGACCACTTCACCACAAAGCAGAGTGCATCTGCCTGAGATGCAAGCAACCAACAGTCTGCATACAAATAAAAAGCCACATCTGTAAAATGGATGTACACACAAAACTCAAGTTCTGGAAAAAGACCTAAGCCCAGAAGTGGATGAACAACCAGGACTTTCTGCTGAAATTGACAGCTGGTGAAAGGGAAGAAAACACTTCTTCTTCTTCTGCCTTTCTAGCTCCCAATGGAGCATAGGCCCTCAACCAACTCAGGTCAAGTCGTTCTATCCTTTGCTATCGCATGCAACTCTCCCCATGTCCCCATCTTTCTAACTTCATTCTCTAGCTCCCTTCTCTATGTATGTGTTTTTTTGGCCTTCTTTTATTCTTATGCCCCTGTGGGTCCCAATGCAAAGACATTCTAGTTATATTGTTCACGGGTTTTCTCAATGTGTGTCCTATGCAACGCCAGCATCTTTTTTTAATCTCTTGGTAAACTGGAGCTTGCTTAGTTCTCTCCCAAAGCTCTACATTAGTAAACCTATGAAGAAGAAAAAGCAAGTTTTAAAATACCTATGCTGCTACCAAGACCCGTACAGAAGCCATAAACTCGACAAACAAACCTCGTACTAACCTTGATGGTAATGATTGTTACTAGAGCCACCAGTCCAGTACTTGAGCTTGTCGTGAAGAATCACGTTGCCGATAATTGAATTTTCACTCACGTTTGACCCTCTTCCACTGCCATCTTCAACAAATAAAAACATCAAAGCAATGTTTCCCCACTGTAAATTTGAAATGGGATAAAAGACACAAACTTAAGATTGCACAATTTATTGTCTGGCATATCTTCTTTGTTCACCGGCTGTAATCTCCTGGAGAAAGTGCTGGTTGTTCCTCAATTGGACTTTGGTACTGTTCCGGTGCCTCAGTTTTCCATCCCCCCATGTGTATTCTGGGGCCCCATTGTGGGGAAAACAAGAATAGACCCACTGCCTCCCCAAAAGCATGTCGTAAGAGTCAACTAATTGGGGAGCTTCCTTTGAAGTCGGAGTGCATCTGCCGGAGAGGCAAGGATCCAACAGTCTGTATTCAAGAGAATGAGATCTGTAAAACTGATGCACACGCAACACTCAGGTTCTGGAGCAGGACTGCAGTTCAGTAATGGAAGAGCAACCAGAACTTTCCGCCAGAGTGTACAGCTGGTGAACGCGAAGAAGAAGAAGAAGTTTTCCATCAACATCCGTTTTACTGGTTTATTTGTGTGCAGCTGGCTGTTTCTCTACATTTTGGCAGATGCGCTCCAACTTCAAAGAAAGCCCCCTCCCTCCCATTAGTTGACTCCTAGAACATCGTTGATGCGGAGGCATTGGGTCTATTCTTGTTTTCCCCAAAAGCTCTCTTTCGTGGCAGGTGACGCTAAGGAACTTTTATTTAAGGACTTTATTACTGTGTGTGTAAGTGAATGTTCAACTAGCTTTTTTTTCTCTGTCAATTTTCACTTGTTTGAGAATTGTTGACATTTTGGGGATCTGGCAGACACTCAACACACAAGGGAAAGGCGAGACGGACATACAATCAGACAGTTACTGGTGCCATCGTAACTGGAACTTTTCACTTGCTGCTGAACATGAGGGACAGAGCGCTTATGGGAGTCTCCCAAGTGCTATGATGTTGATTCTTAATTCAACATTCTGGTTCATTTTTTTGTGTGTTCAGTTTCGTATCCTCAGATCAAACCGTCAAGTCGGTTGCCTCTATGAACTTGCATGTCAGCTGCAGGTCCTTCATCGTTCCCCATAGCTTGCTCTGCACACTTTGCTCTTAAGGCCAGGTGCAATTTTCGCTTGTTTCAGAATTGTTGACATTTTGGGGTGGGCCTGTGTCTAGTCACCAAGTAAGGCCACAGTCACAGCAATCAAGAGAAAACTCATAACGCAAGTAACACACACATTGCCAACCACTCAGAACGTAGAAAACAAAACGTGCTAGCCGTTCACAATGTAGAATACAGAATGCTTATAGAGTTGAAAACAAAAAAAAACATGACACCCCTAGAACCTGACAGGATAGGGAGATTTTCATACGTACCTTCCATATTACTTGTTACCTCATTCTACAGGTGAGAAATCACATCTGAGATAGGGTGATTTTTAAGATATGCACCTACCATTTTACTTGTTACTTTATTCTACTGGTGATAAATCACCTCCGCCTTGTGCATTTGCAGTACTTCCCACCCTTATTTTTCCACACCCAGTATGGCCAGTCCAGCCAACCTATCCGCCTGCTCATTCCCAAACACATCTACATGTAAGGCGAAATATGAATGTGACTTTTATCACACTCACGCACACAACAGAGCGCAAAAATAAGAGCGAACACATCTTACCAACGGCTGACAGTCTTAGAATAGATGAAGGATGTTTCCCGTTTGGAGCAACATAACCTTGCAGCCATTTTCCATAATCTTTTTTAATATCCCGAGGGTCGTAGTACCAGTGGACAGGCATGGCTACTGAATCGGCCACAAACAATCCCCATACGGCCTCTTCTTTGGCCGTCTTCAGCTTGTCTGATATAACAGGCTTGGACATTTCTTGCAGTTTTCTAGGAATGGAAGAATTAATTAGTTATGGGATTTCACTAGAATGATCATGTAAAAAAATTCTTCTGGTCAATATGGCAGATAGGCAGGTTTACTGTTTTGTAGTCTTAGCATGTTTTTGCTTCTGACAATAGATGGCCTTTGTATTTTCCTCCATATATAGACTGAAAGGAAACAGTTCTGTCAGTATTTAATGATTACTACTTTCATACATCTTTATATGGGTGTTAAGTGGTCTTGAGGCATAGCATCCGCCTTGAGTGCCAGAGTTCCCGGGTTTAAGCCCCAGTGAAGGCTGTGATTCTGTCAAGTGGACTTCTAGTAATTTCCCCTGATCGGGAAATTTTTGCACAGATTGAAGATACCTTGGCCGAACGAACGAACGAACAAACTTTATTTTCAAAGGGTCACAAATTGGGCACACAGGCAAGAAGAAGAAGAAGAGAAGGAGAAGAAGAAGAAGAAGTGGAGGAGGAGGAGGAGGATAAAGAGAAGGAGGAGAACATGAAGGAGGAGACTGATAAGGATGAGGAGGAAAACAAACAAAAACAAAACAAAGTATCATTACTGCAACCTACTCTCGATGTTCTGTGTTACTGGACGACTGACCAGATGAAGATGACACTGTACTAGAACTATGACCACGTGTGGATGAAATCAATGCTGCCTCATACAATCGGTGGCGCTGGCTCAGCAACAGCAGGGTGAACACAGACGCTGTGGCTGCAATGCTGAAGCTTCGACCAGACACAGGACACGTCTGCTGCAAAATAAACAAATTGAATATTATACCACAGTTCAGGGCAATTCTCCTTCACCTTTGCGTTCAGTTTCGTATGCTCGGATTAGACCATCAGGTGGGTTGCCTCTATGAACTCGCATGTCAATAGCAGGTCCTTCATGGTTCCTCATAGCTTGCTCTGCAAACTTTGCTCTTGAGGCCAAGTGTCTTTTCGAAGTTGTAGGTAGAGTGGGCAGGTCTGCAGTATGTGCTGAGGTGTTTGGGGTCCTGTTTGACAGGCACACTGTGGGGACTGTACAGTTTTTATTTTATGCATGTGGTAGCTGAGCCTGCAGTGTCCTGTTCGTAGAAGGAAAATTTGTGTATACTGCTTTTTGTTGAGTCTCCTGAGGGGTCTTGTGGATGTTTACTGTTAGTTTGTTCTTTCCACAACAATTCCTTGTATTTTCTCTTGATAAGTGTTTTGATTTCTGGTAATGACAATGAATGGGTGTGTTGTTTTTTCTTTCTTCCATTTTTTGCAAGTATGTCTACTAACTCATTTCCTGGTATGCCACAGTGAGTCGGGATCCACTAGAGAGCGATTTGATTGTTTTCTATGAGTCTGTGTAGCTGGCAGGTCAGTTCTTTCTCCCTGTTGTCTCATGGATGCCTCTGAGTGGCCTGGAGGACTGACATGCAGTCACAAAGGAAAACAATTTAGCTGTGTTTAATTTTTCTTTCCTTAAGGGCTATTCAGCTAAGATTATTTGAGGGCGAAAATGTTAAAAAATAGGGACCGTAACTGAAAAAGAGGACAAAGCAAGTTCTGGAAAGTCCTGAGTACACTAAGGTCAATTCCTGATTCACTCATTCTATGCAATATTTATGCAACAGACTTGAAGAGATAAACTCAAAGCCTATTAGAGGAAACATAATTTTTATGCATATCCACAACTCTCAGGCTTCAGTTCGGCGTTCCAGTTTCTGGTTCCTCACCCTGTCCTACATACATGTGCCGGTACATACACACACACACACAAGCACATATAGATAGCGGCAACATTTAAATATACCTGTAATGAAAGAAGATGCTGTTTTCCTGTACTTAGTGTAACAATGCGCCTACAAAAACTGCCCCTGAAATTTATAGAAAACAAATTCATTTATAATCAATTTCACAAAATGAAACTTACGAAAATTAAATATCAATCATTGTTATCCTTTTAACACTCTTACCCTATACCTCAGAGTAGCTGCAGACAGGAAACACCCTCTGTATGAAGCTTTGACTGCAGGTAAGGGTCAGAGGCTAGAAAGGGGAAAATCGTGGATGGCTCAAGCAGAAGACACAATAAGACAAGTATGCATGCTGGAGAACATTGGGTGACTAGAGGAGTGGGTCAAAGTACCAGATGAAAAGTCTGCCCTGTTTAGGGTTATGATCACATTGGGCCGGGAGTGCAGAGAGTGGCAAGTGGGTGCTACATAGGTGGAAGTCCAACAGTTGATTCACGACAATTTACGCCCAGGTGATCTGATTATCTATACAGATGGTTCAGTGTTGACAGCAAAGAGAAGTGCCTGGGGGTTCGTAGCGAAAGCCAATGGAAAATCTTTAGTGCAAGACAGCCTAGCATACAACATTACAACATCTAGCATGAGAATGGAGGTGGAGGCTTTAACTGCAGCTCTCTGGTGGCTAGAGAACAAGATGCATACACATGTCGTAATTGTAACATTCTCTGAAAGCATGTTGAGAAAGGTTAAGACAGGAATGCTTCGAGCAGAGTGGCAAGCTTCATTGGTAAGGTCACAGGTAGTAAGCATACTTTTGAATCTTTTCTCCAGGCCATGCTGGCGTAGTGGGTAATGAACAGGCAGACAGATTGGCTGGATCTGCACCACTGGGTGGTGAATTGATACATGACAAGGCAGACGTGGTTAAGGCCCTTTGGGAACAAGCAACAGAATCAGAAGAGATGGAAAATTATTATGGCCTGGAGAGAATGAGGCACCTGGGTGCAACCAGAGGGCCTAGCCGGTTCACCACACTCAGAGGAAAGGCAAGACGGACATATAACCTGATTGTGACAGTTACCATCAGTATTGGAACTCTGCGCTGGCTGCTGAAGATGAGGACGAAGCATGCATGGGAATGCCCCAGTGCTTTGATGTCAATTCTTGACTCAACTCAACTCAGCCTAGGAACACTAAAAAATGGGTCATGATAACAATGGAATTTCAGGAAACAAATTCTTTAGAAAAACAAAAAATCAATGTTACACAGGTCATTAATCAGCATTATCATCATCAGCATCAAGTGCGCTGGCAATTTTCAGTGTATGCATTGGTAACAGATACTACTAGAGGACTTGCATTGAACATAGTGGTGACCACATCGAAGCATGACACATTTGTTCTTTACATTTTCAGAAAACAAACAACAACAAAAACAAACAAACAAGTACGCACATACACACACAAACAGTTTTCATTCAAAGCTGACTTGTAAAAGTAAAATTAAAAAAAAATAACAACAACATCACCAAACATAGTCCCCAAAGTTGAAAGTTGAATTAACTCTTTCTGAGTCCCAAGGAACGCATCATACGTTTATAGGTTCCCGCCTAGAGGCCGAATGAACGCAAGATGCGCCGATTTTACATCTCTTTTAACTACCCCTTGGGCCTCTGATGCTAAACCCCCTGGGACTCAAGAGTTAAGAATCCCCATCTTCAGCAGCAAATGAAGAGTTCCAATTGCAATGACACCAATAACTGATTGTGTATCCGTCTAGCCTTTCCCTTAAATTGAGTTATGAGTTAGATTTATCTTCACAGCAATCCGAACACATCCATAGGCGCTCAGGTTCTCCTCTCAACATATTCATCAGCGTCGTGCGGTTAATAGTGCCAACCCTATGTTGGTTAACAAGACTTCGTGTGCGTCCGGTGTGCTTCTCATGCTTGGCTGTGTCGATTTTTACTCTTCCCTTGATCTTTTCCTTGAGTGTCGAGCGTCGGTAAGATCCCCTGGTAACTCCTCGCAGCGCCATTCTCCTCAGACAATAATGATCTATCTGCGCCTCAGCACACTTCACTGGTTCCCAGAGGGTCCTCACAACATCTAGCTTGTCATTTTTATACATCGTCATCAATTCCCCACCAAGTGGTGCAGAACCGGCCAGTCCGCAGATGTAGGAAACAAATTGCTCAATCAAACAGCGAATATAAAAGTAAAACATATTGTAAAATGACACAAAAGGACGCCCTGTTGTGTTGAATTTGCAGACAGACTTACCAACAACGATGCAGATAAAGCATTTGCCTAGAAAATCTGCAACTCATAATTATATAACTCCAGTTGTTTTGTTTGGATAGTTAGAAATCGAAAGTAGACATTCATTTGAGTATTTCCGGTATTTTGTTTAGCGCCTTACTTTTATAATCCATTATTTAACCTTGTAGCAACAAATACAGATGTGAGTAGATGACAGGTTCGATTCTGTAACTGTAACTATAGCTTTGGCATTTTATGTTTTTTAGTGTGTCCTTCTATCTTTCTACTTTTTTTTTTCTACGAGTGCCGGTCAATACATTGTCTCTTTATTAATTATAACTATATTTTTTATCCGGCGTCAAGTGTTCCCCCTCTATTTATATGTACAATGTGAGTCGAAGAAAATAGGGACTTTTAATAAAAGGCACCTTTGAACTGAAATGCTAAAGAAAGGTTATTAGAATACCATGGACAAAGAAGAAAAGAAATACTGTCGTTCTAAAAGATCTGAACGCTAAGGAGATTGGGTTATAAAACCATCATGCCTAGTAAATTGAAGTAGTTGAAGTAATGTCACTGCGAATTGGAAAACATTTTACTAATTAGAAAAAGGCATGATACCAGGAAGGATGGGCAGCACAAAGAGTGGGGTTACTCAAGGATAAGGGTCTTGCAATAAACTCAAGGGGATCGTATGGGGGCTTGCCAAATATTAAAGGGGGTGTATTCTCATTACAATTACTCGCCTACAAAACCACATCTCCGCAGCTTCCAACATGTTATTATTTCCCGTCCTTTTTAGGATGAAATTTTTCGTTATTTGAAGCCCCACCCTGGCTCTTGCCAGGGGCCGCAATATAGCCAGGCCATAAATATGGCCAATTGTCTGAACGCGGTTTCTGGGACCTCTCCACGTTGATCCTCATCCACATGGTGGCACTTTGTGTCATCGGGTGTTTATCGCTTGTGTGATGTCCTGGTGGGGAAGAAAGTCAGTCAGTCGGCTTTTAACTAGTTTTTCACGAACAAGTAACTGTCCATGATTCACTCCCGTATGTCAGGATATGATTTATATAGCTTTCAGAATTCTCTTTCTCGTTTAAGTTGACCACGAAAGATGGTATTTGTATAGAGCCCTAACCCAACTTGAGGTTTATTACCATGACTGTCTGCGGGACTGTGATTCTGTGCGAGCCTGCTCCCATCCAATATGTCGTCCGTCTGGTTCTGCTGCTGCAGAAATGGAGCGTTCGGCCCCGGACACGTTCAGTTGAAAGATTTACCGGCTGTGAAACTTGATACCGGGTTTATGGGTGAGAGAATATCACAGAAAGAATTGAAATGGATATTTTAAATGCAGGCAGTACCAAAACGATTGTTTAAAGGAAATAAAACATGAATTATTTTGTAATTAATTTAGGTACTTTAGTTAGCTACTTCAGTCAAATTTTTAAAATGCCCTCTACACCAATAAAACCAGCACAGTTAGATAGCTGTAAACAATCTCTTTCCAATGGTACCTCATTTAGGCTTGTATGTCATTTCTGAGCTGAGATATGTAGGTTTTTGTGGAGATGAGATGTAAGAAACAGCCGCTAAAACTTGTGACCCACAAACAAGAAGTTTTTTGACTGCGCAACCTACTGCGCAGTTCTGTATCGGCTTTGTTGACATTGGACTGCCATTGGACAAGATGGCAGACAATGAGACTCAGCTCACTCAGCCGCATGCGATTGCCTAAAAAATGTCACTGTAAATCTAAACAGCCAGAGTCGGGAAAAAAAATTTAATATGCAAATGTAAAATTGGACGGAGAATTCAATTGTAACTAGCATTACCACAACTGGTAATGTTTAAGCCTAAAGCCAACCTCGAATTTACCGCTATTTTCAATCAAACTGATAGACTAACAGAAAAACAGAGAATGTCCGGCTGTCGTAGACATGCGCTGTTAATCGGGTTCCTTCCCGCCGTTTTCAGCTATTTAGAGTGGGTGAAAATCACACCAATGGCAAAATTTCATGAGAGATTAGGACCCATCCCGAAACCCCAGCCGACATTTCCGAAACAAGTTTTAAACGGTTTCTATGGTAACGGAAATTGTCGAAAAGATAGCAAATTTCCGAAACTGTGGTCCCTACTTTAGTCAAATTTTGGCAGATTTGGCCGGCAAGCTAAACTGCTTCGACTGCTTCGGCCGGCTTAGCGGGACTTAGTGGGAGTTATGTCCCCGTGGCCGCACTCAAAACATCGAGCGGAAAAAGTCACGAATCAAATGGCATACTTACCTATCATCATCGGCTTTGTTTACATTGGACTGTCATTGGACAAGATGGCAGGCAATGAGACACAACCACTGGCTGAGCCAGCGATTGCCTGAAAAATGTCACTGTACATCTACCAAGCCACCGTTCAGTAAGAAATTTTATACACTAATGTAAAATTATAACTAGCATTACCAGGACGAGTAACAGTTAAAGCCTAAAGCCAACCTGAAAAACTTATCGCTATTTTCAATCAAACTGATGTAACAGAAAAACAGAGGACGTCCGGCTGTCGTAGACATGCGCTGTTAATCGGATTCCTTCCCGCTGTTTTCAGCCATTTAGAGTGGGTGAAAATCACACCAATTCCAAAATTTCATGAGAGATTAGGACCCATCCGAAACCCCAGCCGACATTTCCGAAACAAGTTTCAAACGGTTTCCATGGTAACGGAAATTCTCGAAAAGATCGCAAATTTCTGAAACTGTAGTCCCTACTTAATCAGGAGCCTTGAGCAACCCCCCTCCCTCACCTTGATTATTTTCATGTCTGGCTGAGCTCTCAGTAAATTTTATTAGTGCTCAGCCTCTCCCACACTACAAATAAATGTTTTATTTTTAAATTTTTATTGGCTATCCTCTGAATAACGGTCCTAAATTATCGAGGCGGTAAATATACCCTAACAGGGCCTCAGTCACGTGTCAGTTGCGAACTTCCGGAGACTATAACGCCACTGCCGAATTGCGAACTTCCGTGGATTGGGGTTAAACTAGATGGCTAGGACTCACGAGCAAATAAAATGAAGGAAGCTGCAGGAGATGCGGTAGCTGCTGCTCGTGAGTCCCAGCCATCTAGTTTAGCCCCAATCCACGCCGCTCATGCGGCCTGGGGGACACTCTCGGCAGTGCTGGAAGTGCGCAATTTAAGACGTCGGAAGTGCGCAATTGACACATGACTGAGGCCCTGTTAGGTTATATTTTCCGCCTCGATAATTTAGGACCGTTATTCGGAGGATAGCCTATTTATTTATATATTCTTTCAAATATAATAAATCTATTTGCAATTTAGCAAATAATAATATTAATTATTATTATCGCACACTTACACAAGACTTGAGCGCCTCTCCCCCTAACATTATTGCAAGAGCACTGAGTGCCTGCTCCCCCCCCCCCCTCCCCCCACCCACCACACACACACTCACACAAATATGCTTTCTTTGTGATGGCGTCCTTGGTTTTAGTTCATACGATATACATATTTTTTCCAAAATATTTATTTAAAACAAGTATCATAAAAGTATGTCTGTTAGGGCTGCCAAACAGACAACCACAGGTACTTCACATAAGTCTTTGCATAAACTATAATCAGAGATTTTAATATTATTTTCAAGTGTAACAGCTTTCCCCCCCCCCCCCCCCCCCCCCCCAACTTTTAAAAAACCTCATGTTTGAAAACTCGTGAGTTGTGGTGGAAAGGGAGGGGAAAAAAGTGGGGGTGGGGTTTGACCCACTGGCGCCCTCCAGGTATATTGCAAAAAATGGGTAATGAAGGATTTGTTGAAAATTGGGCAGCGTTACCGCAGTCGATAGGAGGCAAGCGACTCGCTGCAGTCCACCGCTGGTGTTCGAAACTGGATGGTTCCCCGGGTTCACCCAGCCTCTAGGTAATGGGTACCAGAGTAGACTCTGGGGTAAATGGAGGAGTGTCACTGTAGCTACTGAGTTGTGCGTGGAAGGCGACACAGGTGGACAGTTTCTTATCAGTTGTCCATACTGGGGGCAGAGCACTTATGGTTTATAACCATAATGCTGGCTCACATCTCCCTACTTTACCTTTACTTCTGACTTTATTGTTAAATTTGGATGTGTTGGGTCAAAAAGTGCGGATATTTCGGCTTGGCTAGCTTTGCAACCAAAAAAAAAAGGGGGGGGGGGGGGTAGGAGGGGGTTAGACCCACTGGTTCCCTACAGGTATGTTGCAAAAGATAGCTAACAAAGGATTTGTCAAAATTGGATGTGTTGGGTCAAAAATTGCGGATATATGGCATAGCTTGCTTTGAAAAAAAAAATCCTCACGTTCGACCAGCATTCCCGAAGGGGGGAGGTTTAAGTTATAATTGTGACTGGGTCATGTGCTACATATAAAATGGCTTAGATTGCTCGTGACCGAGCAGCTCTGAAAAGAACTCTTGCAGTGTTGATGTGATCAAAGGATCAAAATATTGTCCCGACTGGTGACAAAATCATCTGCCGGCCAGCCAGTGGGCGACTGGGTCGCTGATGTGCTGATATCACATCCAAGCTGTAAACGAAAACAAATTGCTCTGCTCACAGAAGTATTCACTTTAAACTTTAATTTCGTTTCTTCTCTTACTTTCTTCAGGAAACGATGTTGTGATAGTTAAGAATGGACATCGAATTTGTGGAAGTGGGGCAGCCCTGGCAAACGCTCCAATCGCACAAAACAAAGGTTACTTTGAGATCAAGTTGCAATGTACAGGTAAATCTTCTCCTTGAATTTATTATTAGTTACCTTTTGCATGCATGGCACGACACTGTGAGCTGCAGATTTCATTTTAAATGCTGTTTGACTGCTCAGCATGGTTTATATTGTGAACTGCAGATTCAGAAAATGGTGAATGGCCTGTTGCCAGAGAACTGGTGGTACCTTATGCGATAAATTGCATGTGCAACTACTGATCTGTTGTAACTGCTGCTTCCATTGACGATGAACTGCATTTCTAGTGTTGGACTGTTTGTGTTGGCACTTCTGCTGGCTGCCTTATGCATTTAATGCGTGTGTATGCTATAGGCTTTGCTGAGACTGCAGTCTGGTAGTGTTTTCACAAGGGACAGTGATAGACATTCTGTGTGGTTTTCGTTGGCACAGGAACAGAGCTGACCCTTTGGCTGTGAGTTGGAACTGCTGTTACCAGATTACCAGATGACACCTGATGGTGCTTTATTAATATCCTACCCCCAGATGACATCACAGGACAGTCCAACATTTTAGAGGGTGGTAAGACTGGGGTTCCCGGCTTTCTGATGCTTTTAATGACCCCAAAACATCTAGAACTGGCCCCTAACCCCAACCCATCTACGTAACATGAGCGAGTGCAGCCTAGGTCCAACGACTGCATGCAGCCTATCTACCACCCCCTGAAATATTAGACTGTCCTGTGACCTGTGGATTTCCCCTGTTTGGGGTAAGATATTAATAAAGAACCCACCTGATTGAAACCCTTTCTATATTTCCTCGTCAGGTACTTGGGGTGTTGGCTTAGCCACACGGAGGTGCAACCTGAACAAGGTCCCGCTGGGTGATGATACCGAAAGCTGGGTGCTACGCCAGGATGGCCTCTTGTTTCATAATGGTGAAGAGAAAGGAAAGTTGCCAGAAGCTCCTCAAGAAGGCGATATATTGGTAAGTCACTGTGCCAGATTGGCTGATAATCCATTAACTAGCAAGGAAGTTGTCAGAAGCTCGTCGAGAAGGAGATTTATCGATAAGTCAGTGTGCCAGATTGACTGATAATCCATTAACAAGCAAGGAAGTTGTCAGAAGCTCGTCAAGAAGGAGATTTATCGGTAAGTCACTGTGCCAGATTGGCTGATAATCCATTAACTAGCAAGGAAGTTGTCAGAAGCTCGTCGAGAAGGAGATTTATCAGTAAGTCAGTGTGCCAGATTGGCTGATAATCCATTAACTAAGGAAGTTGTCAGAAGCTCGTCGAGAAGGAGATTTATCGATAAGTCAGTGTGCCAGATTGACTGATAATCCATTAACTAGCAAGGAAGTTGTCAGAAGCTCGTCGAGAAGGAGATTTATCGGTAAGTCAGTATGCCAGATTGACTGATAATCCATTAACTAGCAAGGAAGTTGTCAGAAGCTCGTCGAGAAGGAGATTTATCAGTAAGTCAGTGTGCCAGATTGGCTGATAATCCATCAATTAGTAGGGAAGTTGTCAGAAGCTACTCATGAAGGAGATTTATCGGTAAGTCAGTGTGCCAGATTGGCTGATCCTCCGACAATTTCCTAGTTTTCATTCTAGCATGTTATGCACTTTTTAAGGGAAAAAATACAATCTCTGTACAGAAGGTCATCTTTGTTTTCTAATTCTTCTTTTCTTCTTTTGTCAAAATCTGCTTGTGCCGCTAGGCGTCGCAGTCTATCAGATGATTGGCAACCGAGCCAGGGCGCGCTCAGTCGCTTCATATGCCGTGATGTTATGAAGTCTCAAGTTGTCCGTGACTCCTTCAATCCATCTTCTTCTTGGTCTTCCCCTGCCTCTTGGTGTTTCGATTTTCATGTTGTATGCTCTTGATGCTGGCATCGTTGGTTCCATTCTCATTAGGTGACCAAAACCATTTCATTCTTTGCTTCTCAATAAATTTAACGATGGGTATGGTTCCAATAGTTCTTGTAATCACATTGTTTCTCACTCGATCTCTTCTGGTTTTTTTTTCTTGTTTTCTAATTTATGCACATTAAAAAAGCAACATTACAGCACTCCAGTATTTCCATGAACGCTCCAGCTCCAGTTTCAGCAGCCAACGCAGAGCTCCAATACAGACAAAAATAATGCCCTGCCCCGACAAGCGTGTCCTAAAAGCCGGCTAATTAGTGCATCTGCCTTAGAGGACGAGGAACCAACACTCTGCATATACATAAATAAGACATATCTGCTAAATGGATGTGTACGTGAAACTTAGGTTCTGGAAAAGACAGAAGTGGATGAACAACCAGAACTTTCCACCAGAGCTTACAGCTGGTGAACGCTAAGAAGAAAATTTCATTCATAGAATGGAATGGACGACTAGACTGTGAGCCCATTGTGATGTTTAATAGCATAGTAGGATGATGATGATGAAGCATCACTTCAAAACTTGGTACCTGTATAAAAGATCCACAGAACGCTCTCTACCCCCCCCCCCCCCCCCCCCCCACACACACACACACACACATCTAAAGCTTCTTTTTTTTTCTTCTGCTTTTTTCTACCCTCCAACATCTAAAACTTCTTTTTTCTTCTGCTTCTTAATTCACCCTTAAATTGGCGGTTGGTACATTGTTTTTGATTGACAGCTATACTGCGGTATCCGCAACTTTCAGTCCAACACAGGAAACTTTGATTAGTCACCATTTTTGACATGCTTGTTATATAGGCAACGGGTCTCTTCTCATTTCGCCCCCAAAAATGAGGCATCAGAGAGACTGAGCACCTGTTGGTCTGCCTAAAATGATTGATGTCTTTTCTGTATGTTTAAAAAAAAAAAAATATTTCATATTTGCCCACAGGGTTTGACTTACGACCACATTGAGCTGAATTTCTTTCGCAATGGAAGTCCCTTAAATATTCCATTTACCGGAATCAAGGGGACAGTTTATCCAGCTTTTTATGGTACGTTTCTTTGTTATCGTCATTAACTCTTATAGGAACTCTTAAATAAAAAAAAAGGTCATAACTCCGTTAGAATTCCTGAAAAATAAGTAAAAACAACTTTTTACACTGGTCACTAATTAATTTGTAAAGTTAGTTAGTTATTAGAGGTTTCAACATTACCGCAATCGGGTTTTCCCCATACTTGCTCCGTTCCTGTGCCAGTGAAAATCAAATGAAATGTCCCTCACTGTCGCATCTTAAAAACAACTAGTAACGGAACAATCCAGAAATATGTGTACACAGTAAATGCAAATTTCAGTTGCTGGAGGTGCCAAAGCCAACAATCGTCACCAGAAATGCAGTTTGTTGTTGATGGAAGTAGTTGGGCACGATAAGTTGGTTACTATACACACATAGAATTCTTGCATAAGGTATTTCACCAGCTCACACATAAACCGGACACCGGCCATATTGAACAAAATGACACAACAGCTGAGCAAATGAAAGGCATTACATAGTAAAACACAACTCACAGCGCTGCAACCAAGCACTAATCTTAGTTGCTCAGGCAGCGAAACTGTAGCCTACTGTCCTTATGTGGAAACTGCATTAGCAAAGCACTGTCGGAAGCAAAAATAACTTCGAAGCTAAACAAACTGCCAAGCCATTCTTCCATATTGGCCGGAAGTCCTTAATTTGTTTTAAAAAAAATGTATTTATCTGCCTCTGCAAATTATCTTTCTAAATATATAAAGATATATGAAAGGAGTATTTAGTAAACATGAACATGGTGAAGTATTAAATAGAATACAGTTTCCCAGACCTAGTTTCCCAGACCTACAAAATTTATCTATTGGGTAACCCTTGCTGTGATCCTGATAATCTCTATCACTTAGACCCACGAGAAAATCTTGATGTCAGCTTGGCTTTACAAGTAAATTAAACTAGTTTAATTTCTGTATAAATTTACTGGATAACAATGGTGAATACAGACAGGCCATGGACCGGCCTACCAAAACGAGAAGTTCCGTAGACCTGTTTGGCCTTTCTGCTGAAGCTGCCCCTGGCCTGACCTCCTTAACTTTTGCACAGGCACAAACTCAGCCAGTAGCATTAACTATGCGTCTTGTAAACCCTGGAAAAATCACGGGTGGTGAGCATACTTTGGATCTTTTTATCCAGGCTATGTCAGTGTGGTGGGTAATGAACAGGCAGACAGATTGGCTGGATCCGCACCACTGGGTGGTGAATTAATACATGACAAGGCAAATGTGGTCAAAGTCCTTTGGGAACTAGCAACGGAATCAGTAGAGAAAGAAGATTATTGTGACCTGGAGAGAATGAGACACCTGGGTGTAACCAGAGGGTCTGGCCGGCTCACTACACTTAGAGGAAAGGCAAGATGGACATTTAACCAGATTTTGACCGATACCATCAGTACTGGAACTCTGCACTTGCTGCTGAAGATGAGGGTGGAGAATGCATGGGAATGCCCCGAGTGCTGTGATGTCAATTCTTGACTCAACTCAACTCAACAACTTGTAAACAGGTCACTCACTATACTCAAGTCAGAAAAGTGGCATTTAAGGGGAAAAGGAGCTGACCAGAAATGTCAGTTTCTTTTCTTCTCGGGATGAAAGGTTTAACATCATATGAGATCAAACAGAAGAAGAATGAGAGTGTGTGTAGAAGAATGAGATGCATGTTAGAATGGTTTACGGGATGAATAAAAGGTTTAGAAATGCAAAATCTAACTGGCTGGGCATATTGAGAAAATGTCAGATGACAGAGAGGTAAAAACTGTGCACCTAAAGGAACCTGAATGGTCGTAGACCACGAGGCAGACCAAGAAGACGATGGAAAGGTGAAATCCAGACAGACCTGCAAACACTTGGTGTCCCCAACTGGAAAGAGAAAGTCAGCCAGAGAGATGAACAGAGGCGGGTGATATCTGCAGCAATGAACCTCAATGGCTCGGAACGCTGCAGAAGAAAAGAACACGAAAATATAATAAACTGCCAATTAATTAAGTACTAAACTACATCAAGAGACAACAGATCAAAATGGTTTGGACATGTGTCAAGACAGAGAGCCCTGTCACTTGGAGACAAGGAAGCAGAACTAGAGGTCTACCATGCAAGTGATGGATAGACGAAGTATCAGCCTTAAATACCAGCATCTGCGCAGCACATACCCAGGCTCATATCAGCTGTCTGTACAGGTGGCAGAGCACTTATGGTTTATAACCGTGTGCAATGATGCTGGTTCACATCTCCCGACTTTAACTTTTTACCTTTACCCATGCTCTCACAGGCTGCCTTGTCTCTGACCTGATTTTGAAAGGCAGAACAGGGCTAGAGAAAATCTAATTAAGTTTATTATATTAGTAATTCAGAGAACCGCCTTAGCACAGCAACAAGCAGTTTGTCTTGTATTGGAACTCTGTGCTGGCTGCTGAAAAAAGGACGGAGCATGCATGGGAATGCCCTAAGTGATGTGATGTCAATTCTTGACTCAACTCAAGTAGTTTGTCTTCCAATATCCAAGGAGTCACTTATATCCTGTAACCATTTTCGAATTGGTCGACCCCTGCCCCTCCTTCCAGGTACCGTGCCTTCTGAAATTACTTTTTCCAATCCGCTGTGGCTCTTGATGTGGCCAATATATTTCAGCTTTTGAGACAAGATACTGTTTATTAGATAGTCTTTCTTGATGTTCAGATCTTTTAGAATAGTTACATATTGCTAGCATAAAGAGAGTCCAAACTTGAGATTTTTTAAAGACAATTTTCAGTAATTTGTTTGAAATGAATATCTGGAAGAGTTTCACAATTTGCTCTATTGCCATCTTTTGACAGTTGATAACTGTGCAGTTCTGGATGTACAGTTTGACAAGTTCTACCACACACCCCCAGAAGGTTTCGATGCAATCATGATTGAGCAGTCCTTGTTGTGATGTTTGTTGTTGGTGCAGATTTCCAAGCACAACACGGGGTTGCTGTATGAACTGGTTTGTTTACACTTGTGCTGCTGCATGCTTACCTCAGCTTCTATGGAACCTAGTTAGTGGATATCAGTAACAACAGATGAAATCTGCGGCAGCCGAGATATTTCTGACAGTTTTAAGCACAGCTTGGGCAGAGTTGTGGCTGGCAATGCTGAACAGTAGTTGTTGGCACAGGCTTGCATTTTGTTTACACAAGTGGGGACTGCCAAAGGTACCTTTACCCTTTCACCCCGTTGACCTAAAAAAAAAAAAAAAGCTCTCGTACTTTCCACACATTTTTCCACATATCCCCCCCCCCCCCCCCCCCAAAAATAATAAAAAAGGTCAGAAAAACAACTATTTTACACATGGCACAGAAAAGTCACACAAAATAGATTTTTCATCCAAAATACGAACAAGAAATATACAGAGTAAGCGGGGTAATTCATAAAAACGAATGCAGTATAGAAACAACTGGCTTATAACTCATGGGGGCTGGCAACTAATTGAATGAATGTTGAATTAAGAATCAACATCACAGCATTCGGGACACCCCCATAAGCACTCCGTCCCCATCTTCAGCAGCAAGTGAAGAGTTTAAATTCTGATGGTACCAGTAACTGTCTGATTATATATCCGTCTCGCCTTTTCCCTGAGTGTCTTAACGTCGGCCAGATACCCTTGTATGTAAACTAATTACAGTTTCACTTGACCCTATGACCTGGTTACACTGTTACTGCTAGCGTGGACAAAATATGACTTAGAAATGTCTATAAATAAAACCATTTGCTGAAAGGACACCGCCTCCATCCCCCTTTTCTATTTTTAGTATATTTGCTATCTCCTAGCATGCTGTATGTTTGTACAGATGCAGTAAATTCTGTTAGTTAGGCGTCTCATAGACATGTTTCTTTAATGAGTCGGGAAAGCGGCTTTCATTGGGAAATGGTATCAGTGGCAAGTGTCAGTTTTGGGGAGTCTCGGAATGAAAGGATTGATGCAACATATTTTCTGAATTTATAATTATTGTAATATAATAGTGATAATTACTCAAACTATTTAATAGCTATGTCAGAGGGGTTAAACTTTTTATTTTAATTTTTAAAAAAAGGTAAAATTTAACTATACAACAAAAGCTTGAGTTGATCTAAACACAAAAAAAAATTGAGGTATCTGTGAGGTGTGCATATTACTCCTCTTCTGTTTGTTGATATTAGTGGCTGCAGACACCGTTTTGGTTCTGTGAACAATCAGCAATATCAAATAGACATTTTCGCCATTTTTTGCTGTTGAATTGAGGTATGAGTGGGTGTATTTATATAATCATTTCAGACTGCCCTTTTGTTTTTGTTTTTGTAGGTCGTTGTTGACAGTTTTTTTATTTTAAATATTTGCCAAGATCTTCCATGACAATATGTTTCTGAGCAAAACTGGATTCTGTTGACTGTTTGTTTCTTTATGAAGCAGTTATTTGTCGTAGATCGGTAGACGTCGTGGTTGATGTTTCTTGGAGTGAAATTAAGGTTAAAACTAAAAAACATTCCATAAGATTCTTCTTCGTGTTCACAGGCTGTAAACTTCGGCAGAAAGTTCTGGTGATTCATCCACTTCTGGACTTTAGACTTGTTCCAGAACCTGAGTGTTGCGTGCACATCCGTTTTACAGATCTGACTTATTTGTATGCAGACTGTTGGTTCCTTGCCTCTCAGGCAGATTTACTCCGACATCGAAGAAAACCCCCAGTTAATCGACTCTTACGACATGCTTGTGGGGAAGGCAGTGGGTCTATACTTGTTTTCCCCCAACAATGGGGCTCGGAATACACACAGGGAATTCTGTAAAGTGGAAGTCTCCTCTGAAATATGATAGTAAAATAGAAGGGATATTCAGAAAAGCAGTGGAGAATTGGAGACATATTGTGGAGTGATAGAAAAACATGCGCAGCAGTTCTCTTTTTGACATAACAGTTGTTTTTTCAGACATGTTTTAAGGAGCAGTTAACTTGAGAACTTGGTAGCAACTGGCGAGACAGAAGGAAAGCGGACAAGAGGAAAGCAAAGGAATTTATGCCTGGATGGCTTAGCCAAATGCACAGGGAGACAAGAACAGTGACCTGATCTGTGATTCTGGTGATTGCGAAACATGAGTTAATGGCATGACTGGAACTGACTCACAGAGCGTGTTGAGAAAGGTAAAGACAGGCATGCTTCATGCAGAGTGGCAAGCATCCCTTCAGGGGTCCCCGGTAGTTAGCATCCTTTGGATATTTTCTCCAGGTAATTCCAGTGTGACTGGAAATGTGCAGGCGCATTTACTGGCCGGCTCTGCACCACTTGGTGGTGAATGGATGTATGACAAGCTAAACAATGGGAAGACCCTTTGGGAACGCATGAACAGTGAGGAGGCGCAGACAGATCATTGCAGTCAGAGGAGAATCGCGCTGCGAGGAGTTACCAGGGGATCTGGCCGATGCTCAGGGTAAGGATGAGGTGGATATACAATCAGACGGCTACTGGTGCCATTGGAATTGGAACTCTTCGCTGGCTGCTGAAGATGGGGACTGAGCACTTAAGGGAGTGTCCCGAGTGCTGTGATGTCGATTCTTAATTCAACATTCAATGACATGACACATGATGGTAATGATGATGATATTCGTAAATATTTTGTAGAATGATTGTTATTTTGAGAAGCATGCGGCTGAAGAGGAATTACGTCCTGGTTTTATATTTTTATGTTTTAAGTTTTATTTCTTCCATTTCAGTATATTTATTTTTATGTTTAATATTTCAGTGTTTTAGTTAGTGGTATTCATAAATATTTTGTAGAACGGTAATGACATTCAGAAATAACCTGTGAAAGGTTGTGATTCCAAAATATTCCAGAGTGGGGAAGTGAAAGTCATAACTATTTTTTATAGATTCCCAGTGGCATTCATAAATATTTATAGATTCACAGTGGCATTCATAGATATTTATAGGTTCACAGTGGCATTCATAGATATTTATAGATTTACAGTGGCATTCATAGATATTTATAGATTCACAGTGGCTTTCCATAAATATTTATAGATTCACAGTGGCATTCATAAATATTTATATATTCACAGTGGCATTCATAAATATTTATAGATTCACAGTGGCATTCATAAATATTTATAGATTCACAGTGACATTCATAAATATTTATAGATTCACAGTGACATTCCAGAAATTTTCTAGATTCACAGTGGCATTCCATAAATATTTATAGATTTAAATGGGCATTCCATAAATATTTATATTCACAGTGGTGTTTAGGAATATTTATAGATTCACAGTGGCATTCATAAATATTTATAGATTCACAGTGGCATTCATAAATATTTCATAGATTCGCAGTGGCATTCATAAATATTTATAGATTCACAGTGGCATTCATAAATATTTCATAGATTCACGGTGGCTTCTTTCATAAATATTTTATAGATCTACAGTGGCATTCATAAATATTCTATAGAATTGCAGAGACTCGGAACTACATAAAATGCAACTGATGTTTAGACAAATTCCGTAGAATGTTATTGAAATGTAGACACTTTTGTTATGTAGAACATTAAATTGTGGAATGTGTTGCAGACTTTAATAATTTCAAGTGTTGAAGAGTCACTGATCATTGCAAATGTTGTAACTTGATAGTTACAGTTGCAAATGTTGTAACTTGATAGTTATCATTGCAAATGTTGTAACTTGATAGTTACAGTTGCAAATGTTGTAACTTGATTGTTATCGTTGCAAATCTTGTAACTTGATAGTTACAGTTGCAAATGTTGTAACTTGATACTTATCATTGCAAATGTTGTAACTTGATAGTTACAGTTGCAAATGTTGTAACTTGATAGTTATCACTGCAAATGTTGTAACTTGCAAATGTAACTTTATTAACATTATTTTGTCTAAATTAGAAATGTGCACAGACATAGTTCTGTTGCGTCACACTTTATAGCTTTATTAATTGTAGTTAAATTATGTTAACCTAATTGCTAATTGTTACAAATGTAAGTATGTTAGATACTATTTAATGAGTTTTGGATGTTAAATGTTTATATTTGATAGTTAGAATAACGCTGTTTTATTACATCGACTTGCAATATTTTACAGTTATTTTATTTTTTGCACTTTTAAAGAATTCTAAAATAATCTACATATAGCTTGAAAATGTTAAAATATCTGGCCAGTGATCCGTAATTTTTTTCACATTGACTTTTAAAAACATGCTGTGATTTGCACGTGTGGAGAACTTATGTGGAGACTTAACTCTTTGAGTCCCAAGGAACGCATCATACATTCATAGATTCCTACCTAGAGGCCCAGTGAACGCATGATGCGCCAATTTTACCTCTCTCTTGACTACCCCTTGGGCCTTTGATGCTGAACCACCTGGGACTCAAAGAGTTAAGAATGTTGCAAAATCTGGCCAATGACAGTGTGGTTGAAATGTATTGTTTCAAGTGAGGTCTGGGGTTTATAATATAATATTCATCAAATGTTTTTTTTTCTCATGAGAAAATATGATTCTTTTGCTAAACAGTTTGGCAATGCAATGTTTTATGTTTCTTAAAATATCCAATCTGCATTATAAAAACAATTCAAGCACGTGCACTTACATGAATTTGATATATGTCAGCGCCAACCGCTTTTTAGCCAGTGAATTCTAAAAAGAAATTGAAGCCGCAATGAGACATTTTTTTCGGGTTTTCAAAACTGTCCTGGGCGCCCAGGTTGACCCAGTCTAAAATACGTACGAGGTAATTGTACGGCGATATTCTGTGCATAGATTATTCCGTTGAAATGTCGTCCCAGGTCCTTGCCGAACTAAGTCCAAGTAACTTATTACTCTAGGGGTAACAAATGTCAAACCCAACGACAGGCAGAAAAACGCCACCAACATGGTCAACTGTTGAAACTTTTACATTTGAGAACACGTCGCTGACAGGCAATATCAATACGTTTATTCAACAATTCTCCACAGATATAATGTGTGTCCATGAAATGAATATGTTACAATCACTGTACTCAACAATGGTAGGATAATTACTTTCCTCCAATATGGAGCTCAGAGACTTTGCTCGTCCCGAACTGCGGCATCAGGACGGCGGTAGGATAATTCCTTTCCTCCAACATGGAGCTCAGAGACTTTGTTCTTCCGCAAACTGTGGCATCAGGACACCGATAGCATAATTCCTTTCCTCCAACATGGAGCTCAGAGACTTTGCTCTCCTGCGAACTGCGGCATCAGGACATATCAATACAAGCCTCTGCCCTTCCTACCATTTCTTGTAACTGTCATCTGTCCAAATCTTCTGTCGGCAAGTAACGTTGTGTCTCTCGTCATATCTCATGTTCATCAGCGGTCGTCAACAGTGTCAATCTTCGGATTGCACACAACAGTAATATTCTGGGAAGTAAAGGCGGGCGTTGTGGACCATTTCACTTGTCGATTGCCAACTGGTCTGTAAAAATATGCCTGATTTGCGTCTGATATAGAAAGGATACTAGAGGGTGCAAAAAAGGGACTGTTTTTGAACAGGACCACAGTCCAAAAGTGGATGAACAACCAGAACTTTCCACCGTAGTTTACAGCTGGTGAACACAAAAAGAAGAAGAGAATGTCAAGAAAACAGAAACAATGGTTATATCAAAGAAAAAGGTAATTTCAAAATATGACGTAGAAAAGAAAGTGCATAACCAAGTCAATAAATTCAAGTATTTGGGAACATTCATAACATCAGATGGACGATGTGTGACAGAAGTTAAGAGCAGAACTGGCCAGGGAAAGGCAGCATTTCAGAAGATGAGTATCTTATGTAATAAATCACTGTTATTAAACGTCAGAAAACAAGCGCTGAAATACTGTATCAAGCCCGTTCTGTTGTATGGCAGCGAATCTTGGAATGTGAGCAAGCAAATTAAGAAGAGTTTGGAGGCAACTGAGATGTGGTTCTGGAGAAGAATGTTACAAATACCTTGGACTGAATGAGTAACAGTGATTGCCTGAAACTGACAAGGGTCCTTATGAAGGGACCAGATTGAACTCACAAACCTCAGAACTCGCGGCAGAAAGCTTAACAACTCTGCCTTCTCCACTGCCTCTGTAACATCTTCTTCTTCTTCCCTAGTCTTGTTCTGCCTTTCAGGGTTTGAAGAGACATCGGGTGTGACCTTTGGTTATGTGCTATGTAGAATCTGGTATTTACGGCCTTGGATAATCCCTCTATCCTTCACCTCCGTGGATGACCTCTAACCCTGCTTCCGTTATGTCTAAGTGACATGGCTCTCTGTGGTGCACTATTTGTTGGTTATCTTGACACATGCCCACACACTTTGATCTGTCGTCTTTCGGTGTAGTTTAGCACTGGTTCCATCCCAACTTCTTTCCTGATATCCTCATTTTTGATCGTGTCTGTCAACATCATGCAACCAAAGAAGACTGCTTTCTTTTTGGGGTTTAAGTTTAGGAACAATTGTTGTATTTATTGTAAACAAAATTTGATTAAGGGCCATTAATGTTGAAGTTTTAAAAATGTAAATGAGAGAGGATTGACATCTGGATATGTTTATCTGATGTCGTGTCTTGTAATGTTCTGCAGCTTGGTTTTATAATGTTTTATAGCTTTGTTCATGTGATGTTCTATAGCTTGATTGATGTTATGTTCTATAGCCTGGTTCATGTAATGTTCTATAGCTTGGTTCATGTAATGTTCTATAGCTTGGTTCATGAAATGTTTATGTTTTATAGCTTCGTTCATGAAATGTTCTATAGCTTGCTTCTTGAAATGTTCTATAGCTTGGTTCATGAAATGTTCTATAGCTTGGTTCATGAAATGTTCTATAGCTTGGTTCATGAAATGTTCTATAGCTTGGTTCATGAAATGTTCTATAGCTTGCTTCTTGAAATGTTCTATAGCTTGCTTCTTGAAATGTTCTATAGCTTGGTTCATGAAATGTTCTATAGCTTGGTTCATGAAATGTTCTATAGCTTGCTTCTTGAAATGTTCTATAGCTTGGTTCATGAAATGTTCTATAGCTTCGTTCATGAAATGTTCTATAGCTTGGTTCATGAAATGTTCTATAGCTTGGTTCATGAAATGTTCTATAGCTTGGTTCATGAAATGTTCTATAGCTTGGTTCATGAAATGTTCTATAGCTTGGTTCATGTAATGTTCTATAGCTTGCTTCTTGAAATGTTCTATAGCTTGCTTCTTGAAATGTTCTATAGCTTGGTTCATGAAATGTTCTATAGCTTGGTTCATGAAATGTTCTATAGCTTGGTTCATGAAATGTTCTATAGCTTGGTTCATGAAATGTTCTATAGCTTGCTTCTTGAAATGTTCTATAGCTTGCTTCTTGAAATGTTCTATAGCTTGGTTCATGAAATGTTCTATAGCTTGGTTCATGAAATGTTCTATAGCTTGCTTCTTGAAATGTTCTATAGCTTGGTTCATGAAATGTTCTATAGCTTCGTTCATGAAATGTTCTATAGCTTGGTTCATGAAATGTTCTATAGCTTGGTTCATGAAATGTTCTATAGCTTGGTTCATGAAATGTTCTATAGCTTGGTTCATGAAATGTTCTATAGCTTGGTTCATGTAATGTTCTATAGCTTGCTTCTTGAAATGTTCTATAGCTTGCTTCTTGAAATGTTCTATAGCTTGGTTCATGAAATGTTCTATAGCTTGGTTCATGAAATGTTCTATAGCTTGGTTCATGAAATGTTCTATAGCTTGCTTCTTGAAATGTTCTATAGCTTGCTTCTTGAAATGTTCTATAGCTTGCTTCTTGAAATGTTCTATAGCTTGGTTCATGAAATGTTCTATAGCTTGGTTCATGAAATGTTCTATAGCTTGCTTCTTGAAATGTTCTATAGCTTGGTTCATGAAATGTTCTATAGCTTGCTTCTTGAAATGTTCTATAGCTTGGTTCATGAAATGTTCTATAGCTTGGTTCATGAAATGTTCTATAGCTTGGTTCATGTAATGTTCTATAGCTTGGTTCATGAAATGTTCTATAGCTTGGTTCATGTAATGTTCTATAGCTTGGTTCATGAAATGTTATATAGCTTGGTTCATGTAATGTTCTATAGCTTGGTTCATGAAATGTTCTATAGCTTGGTTCATGAAATGTTCTATAGCTTGGTTCATGAAATGTTCTATAGCTTGGTTCATGAAATGTTCTATAGCTTGCTTCTTGAAATGTTCTATAGCTTGCTTCTTGAAATGTTCTATAGCTTGGTTCATGAAATGTTCTATAGCTTGGTTCATGAAATGTTCTATAGCTTGCTTCTTGAAATGTTCTATAGCTTGGTTCATGAAATGTTCTATAGCTTCGTTCTAGAAATGTTCTATAGCTTGGTTCATGAAATGTTCTATAGCTTGGTTCATGAAATGTTCTATAGCTTGGTTCATGAAATGTTCTATAGCTTGGTTCATGAAATGTTCTATAGCTTGGTTCATGTAATGTTCTATAGCTTGCTTCTTGAAATGTTCTATAGCTTGCTTCTTGAAATGTTCTATAGCTTGGTTCATGAAATGTTCTATAGCTTGGTTCATGAAATGTTCTATAGCTTGGTTCATGAAATGTTCTATAGCTTGCTTCTTGAAATGTTCTATAGCTTGCTTCTTGAAATGTTCTATAGCTTGCTTCTTGAAATGTTCTATAGCTTGGTTCATGAAATGTTCTATAGCTTGGTTCATGAAATGTTCTATAGCTTGCTTCTTGAAATGTTCTATAGCTTGGTTCATGAAATGTTCTATAGCTTGGTTCATGAAATGTTCTATAGCTTGGTTCATGAAATGTTCTATAGCTTGGTTCATGAAATGTTCTATAGCTTGGTTCATGTAATATTCTATAGCTTGGTTCATGTAATGTTCTATAGCTTGGTTCATGTAATGTTCTATAGCTTGGTTCATGAAATGTTCTATAGCTTGGTTCATGTAATGTTCTATAGCTTGGTTCATGTAATGTTCTATAGCTTGGTTCATGAAATGTTCTATAGCTTGGTTCATGTAATGTTCTATAGCTTGGTTCATGAAATGTTCTATAGCTTGGTTCATGAAATGTTCTATAGCTTGGTTCATGTAATGTTCTATAGCTTGGTTCATGTAATGTTCTATAGCTTGGTTCATGTAATGTTCTATAGCTTGGTTCACGTGCCTGCAGACCTGGGGCTTCGATTACCTACACACGAGTACTTTGCTTCTTTTGCATGTTAAGACTTTTACTGCAGTGGACTTCTGCATCCTGTAGTTTCCAATGTCATGTCCCACATAGATACCTTGGGACATCCACTATGGCAGTATACAGACAGATGGGTCTGTTTCATTTTCTTCCCACATCATGGTTTATGAACCCTGCATCTCTTTGATCTATCAACTCACAGAATCCCTGAAAGTTTCTTATAGCTTCAGATGCCAGTGTGAATGTATTTGACAAAATCAGCAGTCAACTTGAAGTTGTTGACATCTTCATAGAGGCTTGTCCTTAGTGTGGTCCGTGTAATGTTCTATGGCCTTAGTGTTTGGGGCCAGATTTTTGTGAAATTTGTATGCAATTTATTTTTTCCATTCACCTGTTTGTCTTTTGAACTTAGATGCACAAAATTGGTGAATTGAGAAGTATTATTCTTTATTATGGTTGCTTATATTTAACTTCATACTGTGCAATATATACATTTTTATTTTACATTAAATTCATTTTAATTCTGTGTATTAGTTTTTGTGTCTGCATTTGAGGATGTTTTAGTATGGGGCTGAGTTTGTTTTTGAGGCTGGGGTTGGGGTTGTTCTTGGGGCTGGGTTTGTTTTTGAGGCTGGGTTTGTTTTTGAGGCTGGGGTTGGGTTGTTCTTGGGGCTGGGTTTGTTTTTGAGGCTGGGTTTGTTTTTGAGGTTGGGGTTGTTCTTGGGGCTGGGTTTGTTTTTGAGGCTGGGTTTGTTTTTGAGGCTGGGGTTGGGGTTGTTCTTGAGGCTGGGTTTGTTTTTGAGGCTGGGGTTGGGGTTGTTCTTGGGGCTGGGTTTGTTTTTGAGGCTGGGGTTGGGTTGTTCTTAGGGCTGGGTTTGTTTTGAGGCTGCAGCTGAGGATATTTTTAGGGTGCTGGGGCTAAGAATATATTTAGTCTAGACCTTGGTATGATTTTGTTGGGGGGGAAAGGAGGTGGGGGAGGCTGAATTTGTCATTAGAGTCTTATCACTAGAGTATGTCACTAGAGTTTATCACTGGTTTATCATTATTCTTATCACTAGAGTTTGTATCATTAGAGTCTTATTACTAGAGTATGTCACTAGAGTTAATCAATAGTTTATCACTTGAGTCTTATCACTAGAGTATATCATTAGACGTCATTCACCAGAGTATGTCACTAGAGTTTATCACTAATTTATCATTAGATTTTCACTAGAGTGTATCACTAGTTTATCATTAGAATCTTATCACTAGAGTCTATCTTTAGAGGCTTATCACTATAGTATGTCACTAAAGTTTATCACTAGTTTATCATTAGAGTCTTATCACTAGAGTTTATCATTAGAGTTTACCAGAATATGTCACTAGTTTATCATTAGAGCCTTATCACTAGAGTTTATCATTAGAATCTTGTCACTAGAGTTTCTCACTAGTTTATCATTGGAGTCAGTCACTGGAGTCTATCACCAAAGTTCATCATAAGAGTCCGTCACCAAAGTTTATCATTAGAGTCTTTCATTAGAGCCCTAGAGTTTATCATTAGAGTCTATCACCAGAGTCTATCATTAGAGTCTATCACCAGAGTTTATTAGTAGAGTCTATCATTAGAGTCTATCACCAGAGTTTATTAGTAGAGTCTATTGCTAGAATCTTATCATAAGAGTTTATCATTAGAATTTATTGCTAGAGTCTATCAGCGCCTTTTATTTGCCATAAAGTTGGAACTGCAATTATCAGTTCATTCCTAAGACCTCAATTTTGATTCGTGTAACTTTTCAGATGAATACAAATCTATTGTTGAAATCATAAAATGTTATTTCATACTTTCTCGCCACTCAAAACAAATACAATTTCTGTGCTGAAATCACATAACCATTTCACACTTTCTTATCACTCAAGACAAATACTCAATCAAATATTTTATTTAACATTTTCTTGTCAGTCAAGACGGACATTTAACCAGATTGTGATTAAAACTCTGCGCTGGCTGCTGAAGATGAGGACAGAGCATGCATAGGAATGCCCCGAGTGCTGTGATGTCAATTCTTGACTCAATTCAACTCAAGACAAACACAAATCCTATTGAGAAATCAAATATTTTTTCACAATTTCTTATCACACAAGAAAAATACAAATCCTCTGTTGAAATCACATACTCTGTTTCACAGTTGTCACCATGGGGGTGTGGTCTCCATGGTGAAGTGATCAAACGATTAGCCTCGCGCTCTGAAGGTAATGGGTTCGCTTCACGGCTGCATCATTCAGTACATGAGTGCAATTTTTACAGAGATCCCTGGAGACTGTTGCCGGAGCTATGGAGTTGGTTATCTGCGCGCGGCACTCTCGGCAGGCGACTAGCTGTTCTGCGGCGAGAGACTGAGCCCTATGGAATAAAACCTGGTGCAGTGAGGTCGATCTCTTCGTCTTTAACCTTTAACACTTATCATCTATATGTAGCCGGTCCTTTGCAGAACGTCGCTCTCATCAGTCTGCCTGAAAGAAACTCAGTCTCCCGCCAGTTCTCCCACCCCATGAACTTTCACACTCAAGGAGTCACTTATATCCTGTGCCCATCTTCGTGTCGGTCGGCCACTGCCCCTCCTTCCTGGTACCATGCCTTCTGCTATTTTTTCCAATCCATCGTGGCGCTTGATATGACCAAAATATTTCAGCTTCCAAGACAGGATGCTGTTTATTAGCCAATTAACACTCGTCACTATAGGCAAATACAAATCCTACGCTAAAATCATAAATTCTGTTTCACACAGTCTTGTCACTCAAGGCAAATACAAATCTTCAACTGAAATCAAGTATTTTATTTCACATTATCTTTTCACTTAAAACAAATCTTTTGCTGAAATCACACAACTAGATGCTACACTTTCCTGTCATTAAAGACAAGAATAGGAAGCTCATAAAAAAAGAAACAATGCAGTGATCATAAATGAAACAGTAGAAAGATACTCCTGGAATGTATAACAATCAATACATACTGACTACGTCAGCTATGCTCTGATTACATACTGACTACGTCAACTATGCTCTGATTACATACCGACTACATCAACTACGCTCTGATTACATACTGACTATGTCAACTATGCTCTGATTACATACTATGTCAACTACGCTCTGATTACATACTGACTACGTCAGCTACACTCTGATTACATACTGACTACATCAACTACACTCTGATTACATACTGACTTCGTCAACTATGCTCTGATTACATACTGACTACATCAACTACACTCTGATTACATACTGACTACGTCAACTATGCTCTGATTACATACTGACTACATCAACTACACTCTGATTACATACTGACTACGTCAACTATGCTCTGATTACATGCTGACTACGTCAACTATGCTCTGATTACATACTGACTACATCAACTACACTCTGATTACATACTGACTACGTCAACTATGCTCTGATTACATACTGACTACATCAACTACACTCTGATTACATACTGACTACATCAACTATGCTCTGATTACATACTATGTCAACTACGCTCTGATTACATACTGACTACGTCAACTATGCTCTGATTACATACTGACTACATCAACTACACTCTGATTACATACTGACTACGTCAACTATGCTCGGATTACATACTGACTACATCAACTATGCTCTGATTACATACTGACTACGTCAACTATGCTCTAATTTATCTAGTTTTATCCCTGGTCAATTCATGGTAGAATCCTGGGACTCATGTGGGGTACATACAACCTGGAGGAACCATTTCTGGGTACATACAACCTGGAGGGACCATTTCTGGGTACATACAACCTGGAGGGACCATTTCTGGGTACATACAACCTGGAGGGACCATTTCTGGGTACATACAACCTGGAGGGACCATTTCTAGGTACATGCAACTTTGAGGAACCATTTCTGGGTACATACAACTTGGAGGAACAATTTCTGGGTACACACAACTGGGAGAAACCATTTCTGGGTACATACAACTTGGAGGGATAATTTCCAAAAACGGATAACAAAACACTGCTCCTCTGTGGTGCATTTCAAAAGTTGGACAACATCTTTAAAATGTAATGATGTCACCATGTTTGTCTTCATCACGATGCCATGTGCTAATACTCTTGATATCCTTAAGAATAGTAATGACAGGTTACAAGAACACGGCATAGTTACTGTAATTTTTGTTACATTTTAAGGATTTCACCTGAAGCCCCTTTAAAATTCATACCTCTGACAGCTTGGATATTGACACTGGATGTAGCTTGTCCAGTCCCCTGTCAGTCAGGGATCGCCAGATGTTGTCTTCCCAGTGGACCCCGGGTCGCCCTGGAGGTCTGGTTCCCTGGTTCTTTGTCTCCCATGGTGACCGATTATTCTCCCATTCTGCATACTATCGTAACTGTGACTGATCCACTTGAGTTTGTAAGACCTGGGTTTCAAGATCTTGACGTATTGCTCAAGCATTTATTGACTGACCGGGTTAAATTCCCGGGTTCATGATTTTAGTCGGAAATATTTTCGACAGCCTTGTCAAAATCAACTCAAACTCCCATGGGAAGTTGAAGCAATTACTCAAGGATGGAATAATACTGATGCATGATAAAGCAGACGTGGTCAGTGCCTTGTGGGAGAGCATGTACAATTCGGAGGAGCAGATGGATCACCACAGTCTGGTGAGATTGATGCAGGAAGGGAGTGACGAGAGGTTCAGAGGAAAGGCAAGACGGGACGTTTAATCAGAATGCTACTAGCACCATTAGTATCGGAACTCTTCGCTGGCTGCTGAAGATGGGGACGGAGTGCTTATGAGAATGCCCCAAATGGAATCTAACTAAAAATTAGCCACAAAGAAGAATAGAACTCATCATTCCTATGTATGTTTCAGGGCCTTACTGCATTAGAGAAAAAAATGAATAGGCCACTGTACCCTGTAACAAGCATGTAACAAAATCTAACTTATTAGGGGGTGGTTCCTTCGAAGGAGTGCATCTGCCTGAGAGGCAAGGAACCAATAATGTGCATACAAAAAAACCAGATCTATAAAACAGATGTGCACATAAAACTCAAACTGTTGAATAAGACTAAAGCCCAGAAATGTTGATGAACAACCAGAACTTCCAGCTGGAGTCTGCAGGTGGTGAAAATAAAGCACAAGATGGATACTCTGTAGTTTGCCACTGCTTTCTGAAGGGTTGGTTCTCGATACCATTATGGAATCAATGCCAATACTTCAGGGGAAAACAGGGTTAGTTACACATAGACAGAATCTAACTAGAGTAGGCATGTTAAAGTTGAGGCATGCTGGGCGCATACAAGAAGAGAACTTGTCAGTGGCTGGTGCCTCTGATGTGGCCAAGGCACACAATGATCTGCTTCATTTTCGTGCCAGGGCATGCATGTGGGCAAGAAAATAAGTAAGCTGATAGGCTTGCAGGTAAGACTACTGTGAAGGATGAACAAGTCATTAGCAGGCTGATATACTGAATGCACTGTGAGAAGTAAGACGTTTGTGAGAACTAAGCAATGACTGTAAATATGCAACCATGACCAGACTGTAAAAACAACATATAAAAAAGAGGTGTAGCCAGATATGAGCACTAACAGGAAGCCAAAGGAGAATAAGAAACTGACACAGAACTGGTGTCGTCAGCCACTAGTTGCTACAGGATTTATCCGAGCACTTATGGACTGAATGGTTCTATTTGTAGTGAGGATAAAATGTCGAGTATCTAACTACGCACACTGTTTAAAATAACTTGCAGCCAACTGTAACAGACAAAAAAAAAAAGGCGCACCATACTTGAGATTTAACAGCAATCATAAACAATTTAGTTCATACAAAAAACAACTAATCAATGGTTTAACACTCCCTGTGTGGGTGCCTGGGTCCCATTAGGGAGAAAACAAAAATAGACTAACTGCCTCCCCAAGTATGTCCTAAGTGTCGACTAACTGGAGGTTCCTTCGAAGTCGGAGTGCATCTGCCTGAGAGGCAAGGAACCAACAGTTTACATATAATTAATTCGGATCTGTTAAACGGATGTGCATGCAACACTGAGGTTGTGGAAAAAGACCAAAGTCCAGAGGTGGACAAACAACCAGAACTTTCCGCCAGAGTTGGCAGCCGGTGAACGCGAAGAAGAAGGTTTAAAACTATCTTACTGACATAGATGATGGGGGACTGGATGAGACATCGAACGATATCTTTCGAGGTCGTTCAAATTTGAATATAACGCTGAACATGTCCCCTCCGAAACGAGTGGCTAGCCACTTGTTTTTTATGACGGCAACTTTGAGGGCGTCGCATGAGAAAGCTGCGTCAAAGTTAGTATGCACCGCTCTGCCCATTCCTTCAATGACAATAAGGTCAGCTCCTTTCTCTTTTATTGCTGAGACCAGGTGCTCGTCAATTAGCCTGCAAAAAAGTAATTTTTGATACGCCAAGTTGAAATTAATATTAAAATAACAATTTAATACATAAATAAGCCTGTAAAAAAAAAAAAAAAAATATTGATATGCCAAGTTCTAATAAATATTAAAATAACAAATTCATCATCAATTAGTCTGTAAAACCAAAGCAACATTGATATCCCAAGTTGTAATGAATACTAAACAAACAAATAAAGAATCAATTATTCTATATAACAACACATACACACAAAAGTTTGATTTGCCAAGTTGTAATGAATACCAAAATAAATTGTAAATTAGCCTGTAATACTAACATCTGACATGCCAAGATGTAATGGATATCGAACTAACAAATAAATAATAAATTAGACAGTTAAAAAAAAAAACTGGCATGCCAGTTTTTGATGAATATTCAAATAACAAATCATCATCATCATGTAGTAGGTCGTTAACAGGACGTCACTCTCATTAATAGTTAAATTCAACTCAAAGATAATTTGTGCTTGAACTCGGCATACATCGGTCAGATCTCTCGGCATGCATCGGTCAGATCTCTCGGCATGCATCGGTCAGATCTCTCGGCATGCATCGGTCAGATCTTTCGGCATGCATCGGTCAGATCTCTCGGCATGCATCGGTCAGATCTCTCGGCATGCATCGGTCAGATCTCTCGGCATGCATCGTTCAGATCTCTCGGCATGCATCGGTCAGATCTCTCGGCATGCATCGGTCAGATCTCTCGGCATGCATCGGTCAGATCTCTCGGCATGCATCGGTCAGATCTCTCGGCATGCATCGGTCAGATCTCTCAGCATGCATCGGTCAGATCTCTCGGCATGCATCGGTCAGATCTCTCGGCACGAACTGGCCAAAGCTTCACAGACAGAAAGGGGACTGACCCCATCGACAACAAACAAAAATTACCGTAAATCCAAACAGGGCGAGGCTTGACCCGATTCCATAACAATTAGTTCTCCATTTTTTAGGGCTGATGTCAAAATCGGACAAATTTCGCTGGCTTTTTTCACGATCAACAACAGCTCGCTGTACACAACATCGTTGAGACTAGGGTGGGAGTTCGCACATAGAATCACCTGTGGTAAAAAAAAAACGCTAAATTTTTATTTGAATAATGGTCTCAGTTTATAAGAAAATCTGGCCAATTAAGTTACAACACAATTATCCCCGTGTGGGTTCCGGGGCCCTATTACAGGTGGAAAAAAGAATAGACCCACTGCCTACCCAAAAGCATGTCATAAGGGTCTACAAATTGGGAGCTTCCTTCCAAGTCGAGAGGCAAGGAACCAACAGTCTGCATACAAATTGGTCAGATTTGTCAAATGGATGCACACGCAACACGCAGGTTCTGGAATAGGAGGACTGCAGTCCAGAAGTGGATGAACAACCAGAACTTTCCGCCGGAGTTTACTGCCGGTGAACACAAAGAAGAAAGAAGAAGAAAAAGACACAATTAAAAGCGTCTGTGGCATCTTGATATGGAAGATCATCTGTGTCAAGAATTATTGAAATTAAATGAGAACGAACCCTGTGGGTGGACATCTTATTCTTCTTCACGTTTGCCAGCTGCAAACTCTGGCAGAAAGTTCTGGGTGTTCGTCCACTTCTGGACGTTAGTCCTGTTCTAGAACCTGAGCGTTGCGTGCACACTGGTTTCACAGATCTGGCTTATTTGTGTGCAGACTCTTGGTTCCTTGCCTCTCAGGGAAATGCACTCTGACTTCAAAGGATGTGCCTTATTAAGTAAAAAAAAAAAAAAGTAAAGTTCCCTTTTCACGCCTTTTGGCGCATCAGGCATATTTGCAGAGCGTCCCATATTTTTACAGACCATCAGCACTCTGTGGGTAATGTGGTCAGCATTACGCCGGCTGTCTTTACTTTCCCAGGACAGCCCATCCTGGTACCCATTTTAGGCTGGGTCGACCTGCGACGTCCCATACCACGATAAAAATCCACGCAGCCTGCAGTGGGTTTCGATCGCGGTATGCTGGCTTACGAGTCGGACTCGCAACGCCTTAGCCACGGACGCCGCATGTGCCTTATTAGTCGACTACTAAAACAGGCGTGGGGGATACTCTCGGCGGTGCGGAAGTCGCTGGAAGTGCGCAATTCAAGACGACAGAAGTGCGCAATTGACACCTGACTGGGGCCCTGTGAGGGTATATTTTCCGCCGTGATAATTTAGGACCATTATTCAGAGGATAGCCCAATCCTGATTAGCACAAAGAAGCATCTCTTACAAATCATATTCATCCATACTTAATGCTACCAGTGCCAGACATGTGGTCACACATGACAAACCAGGAAAGCTAATTAGTAACCACGGATATGTTATGTCTGAGAAGGGCTGCAGGAGTCACCAGAAGAGATAATTTCAAGAATGAGTTTGAAAAAGAAAAAGTCGGCATGGAACCAATACTGAATTATATACAAAGACAGCAAATAAAATGGTTTGCCCTCTTAGAGAGAATGACTTATGACGCCATAACATACAAGAGGAGAGGAGTACAGAGCACAAGGTAGACCAAAAACACAATGTTTCTAGGGTCAAGGCAACCAAAGGAGCAAGAAGCTATACCTTACATCTCCCTTAAAGTAGAAAGGTTAAAGTTGAGAGGATCAATTTTATTGCACTGGGTTTTATCCCACATGGTTCGGTTTCTCTTCGCAGAATGGGCTGCCGAGAGCATCGCACAGCACACGAACTGCGATGATCCCCAGGGATCTCTGTAAAAGCTGCACGTGTGAACCCAAGGGTGCAGCCGTGAAACGAACCTACGACTTTCAGAGTGTAAGGCTAATGGCTCTACCAACTCGCCACAGAGATCCCCACTGGGTGTTTTTCTTGACACGTGAAGTGGTTAAAAAAAAAAGTGCAGAAGAAGAAAAAGAAAACAAGATCAGAGTAAGATGAAGACAACGAAAATAAGATCAGAGAAAGAAAAAGAAGAAAACGAAAACAAGATCACAGAAAGAAGAAGACAACGAAAACAAAATCAGAGAAAAAAAAAGAAGACAACGAAAACAAGATCAGAGAAAGAAGAAGAAGAAAAAAAAAACAAGATCGGAGAAAAATGAAGAAATAAAAAACAATAAACAGTTGGTATACTTACGTGAGTTCCCAGAGATAAGAGCTGCCTGGTGAAAGGAAAGATCCCTAAAATGATATCAACCCCTGAGTTGTCGCAGAATATCACAGCACATTTAAACGGCTTCGGCTGAGAGACTCGATCCAGCCATGAATCAAAGTCATCATAAAGCCAGGGTCTGCCTAGAGAGAGAATGTCAGCAGTCAATCAAGATATTGTTGTACTTGGGACGTTCCCACAAGTGCTCCATCTCCTTCCTAAGTAGCCAATGACGAGTCAACATGCTAACAGCACCAACTACTTGCTGATTAGAAAGCTGAAGACAGGGACGCTTCGAGCAGAGTGGCAAGCTTCATTGGGAAGGTAATAGGTAGTGAGCATACTTTGGATCTTTTCTCCAGGCCATGCCGGCGTAGTTGGTAATGAACAGGCAGACAGATTGGCTGGATCTGCACCACTGAGTGGTGAGCTAATAGACGACACGGCAGATGTGGTCAAGGCCCTTTGGGAACAAGCAACGGAATCAGCAGAGAAACAAGATTATTATGGCCTGGAGAGACTGAGGTACCTGGGTGTAACCAGAGGTTTTGGCCAGCTCACTACACTCAGAGGAAAGGCAAGACGGACATATAACCAGATTATGACCGGTACCATCAGTATTGGAACTCTGCACTGGCTGCTGAAGATGAGGACGAAGCATGCATAAGAATGCCCTGAGTGCTGTGATGTCAATTCTTGACTCAACTCAACTAGTACCAGCTGCAGGCTGATTAAAAGTTCACCTATATTTCCCCCCACCCCCCCAGTGGTGTATATCTTCCAGAGCCTTAACTCCTCCCCTGTTGAATTAGTCTTTCAGTGTGTGAATTCTCTGCCTGTTCTATTGCATTGTTCATCTGATCCCAAAGTTCAGTGTTTTCCAAACGTTTCTTAGTTGCGGCACATTTTTTCAGTTAAGTTTTTTTTACAGCACCCTAATTTAAGTAAAAGTATGACTATTCGTATGTAAAATATAAAAAAAAAAAAAAAAAAACTCATGTATCTTCGAATATTTTACGGCGCCCCTAAGAAGAGGTCCCAGCTCCCCGGGGCGCACAGTTTGGGAATCACTGACATAGAGCCTTCACCACATCACTTTATCATAAAGCAGCTCATTACCCAGAGCAATGACAGTAGGCAATATATCAGCCTGCTCGTTACTCTGTATACCCAAATATTCTGGACATAAAATCAATAGTGGTTGACAGTTGTAAGAATTCGTAATCGCTTCATTTAGCAAGGTGAGATTTTTAAGCATTGGGTGGACGGTGTCCAGGATCTGTGTGGCTATGGGATGACTGTAGGTGATGACAGATGATCGCTTAGCTACTACGTGTTCAACAGCCCACGGGAGGTCCCGACCAGGATAGTGTCATGGACAAGTGGAGTCTCTATGATTCACGGGGTATTGTGGGAGCTCACGGTGATCGGGAGATTGGACTAAAGAGACTTAACAAAGGGTTTTCGGGAAGTTGGCCCAGAGACTTAGACTAAACGTGTTGTATTCTAAGTTAAGTTAGGCCCGGTTTGCCAGCCTAGTTGGTTAAACCTGACTTCGCGGCGCCCGGGTGACGAACTCCTTGTGGTCCGGGTTCAATTCCGGGGTAGGCAGAAAAGCCCCATTTCTCCCAGAATTATAGTATCTATCATGGAATCAAGGCCGAAGGGTTGCGATATCAACAGTACTGAGCCAATGGGTGAACAACTCATGGTTTATGGATACTTGAAAAAAAAAAAAGTTAAGTTAGTGTCTGGTAGTTTGTGATAACATGTTGGCATGACGGTATTATAATTAAGTCTTTATGCTGAGGAGAGATATTCGATTGTGTTTAACTACAGTGGTGTTAATTAAGGTACTCGGCTGTCTTAACAAAGGTGGTTCATGAATGGGGTTTGTTAGCCAAGAAGAAAAGAATGAGTTTGTGGACATTAAACCCAGGCGACTCTGCGCAGTGACATGGTTTGTCAAATCACACCAGCCACAAGCGTGATGTAGCGTAGCAGTCACAGTGTAAGACGTAGAAGTGTAGGAAAGAGCTTGGATCAGAGGTTATTAGTTCGGACCCGGCTAATACCTAGAAGCAGCTGGAAGACCTATATTTGAGTGGGGGCTGTAAAGCAGTCTGGCTGATTGGGGCAGAGTTTGCGAGCCACCTCTGACGCGAACTACCGATCGCTTGTTGTAAATTATAGTAAAAGCTGATGTGTATGTTCCAACAGTGTTGGGTTTGTTGTGTTTGAGGATAGACCTTTCTGTCATGGCACTGCCGACGAGCTGTTTGCCTTCACGGCACTAAGGAGGTCTCCGACAGACGGCCTCATATTTGTAATGCTGTATACTATGGACAGTTGGAGCTCGTCAGCTGGGGACAGCAATCCATCTAAAGAAGCTCATCCTAACAGAAAAGCACGCTGAAGTCAGAGGTGCCGCCTCGATTGGGGCAGACAGATCAGAAAGGTGACACAGCCGAACCTGAAAACTAGGGCCCCGCACAACTATGCTGTGACAGAAAATGAGAATGATAGATGTGATGTTGAGCTGTCAGGCTTGGGAAGCACCTGGCCTTCTTCCTAGATGGAGCCAAACCTAGATACAGGAGTTTCCTCTGCTTTGACTTGTGCGGACACGAGAAGACCACAATTGGCCAAAACCAAGGAGAAGATGCTACAGATATGCTCTCTGCATGCGGCAGACAGATCCCAGGTCTGGCTGGTCGACATTCTAAACGGAAACTAGGTTAGGAAGATAATGCCAATATCAAGGGCTATTTTTGTAGAAAACAAGCCGCCAGTACTCATCATAAAGTGTTTAAAAAGGTGCACACCATAATGCACATTAAAGTAACAACAACAACAACAACAAAAAATCAACAGAAAAAACCTGAAAAGGTGCCGGTACTGTGTACTGTTGCATACTGCTAGGGAAACAAATCCATGCTGGTGCTCTATACTCAAAGCAGGGTAAGTGTAAACACAACCAATACTGGCTCAATTACTAAACACAACTTTTAACCAAACATACAAAACAACACATACTCAAATAAACATAACAGATTACCTAAGCAATACAAGTCAAAAACATTTTTAACAAAGCAACACAACTCTGAACATTTTCAACAAAACAACACAACTCTGAACATTTTCAACAAAACAACACAACTCTGAACTTATTCAACAAAACAACACAACTCTAAATTTAACAAAATAAAACAATTCTATACTCACACACAAAAATCACATTATACTCAGAATAACTTTAAACTAAAAAATACAAAAAAAACAGCAACACTCTAAACAAGAGAACCCAACACTAGACTCAACATAATTCAACGAATCAACACAACTCAACACCATCAACAAAGTTAACAACTATGAACTCAACCAAATAAAAAAACTCTAAAACTTAACAAAACAACACATCTAAACAACTGATCTTACTCTGCAGTTTCATCTGAGCATCTTCCAGCGTAAACTCTTGCGACTCCAGGATGTCCGTGACAGCCTTGGCTCCCCAGTCGAACACGTTTCCGGCGAGAATGCCTAGAATCAGCTGCATGTGCTTCTCCTTGTCAGGGAGACTGTCCAACATTTTCAGCCTCCCTTCCAGCTGTTTCAGTGCTTGTTCGTTCTCCATCTGTTTTTGCTGTGTGAGAGAAATAAGGAGCACTTAATGTACCTTCTTCTTCTTCTTCTTCTTCTTCTTCTTCTTCTTCGCGTTCACCGGCTGTAAACTCTGACAGGAAGCTCTTGTTGTTCGTCCTTTTCTGACCTTTAGCCTTGTTCTAGAGTTGAGTTGAGTTGATTCAAGAGTCAACATCACAGCACTCGGGGCATTTCCATAAGCGCTCTGTCCCCATCTTCAGCAGCCGGTGGAGAGTTCCGATACTAATGGTGCCAGTAGCATTCTGATTAAAAGTCCTCCTTGCCTATCCTCTGAGCCTCGAGCATCTACCAGAACCTCTCGTCACTCCCCACTGCATCAATCTCACCAGACTGTGGTGATCCATCTGCTCCTCCGAATTGTACACACTCTCCCACAAGGCCCTAACCACGTCTGTCATATCATGTATCAGTATTCCACCAAGTTGTTCCAGAGTTGTCAACAAAGGCAGAAACCCTTCTGCAGTGGATTCCTTTCATTGTGCTATCAAAGGCAATGCAAGCGCTGAAGCTTTAGCCAAGGAAGGCAGAAGCAGATCACAAATCTACCAGTCATTATCTTTCCCAGGAGACAAAAACCCTCATTAAGACACAATCACAAACAAGAGTGGAAAACAAACACAGGTTATAACCTTAGAAAGATTATGCTTATAAGGGAGGCAGTGGGTCTACCCTCCTCTGTCATCTTTCGGGCCCCTCCATCAAACCATCCGGCATTTTTCTTCTTCCTCTTGTTCTTTGCTTCCTCTTTCCCCACTTCAGGTGTCAAAGGAGATTTAAGGCTCTGCTTCTTGCTCTTCTGATCGCCGCGACCACAGACACATCGTGGTGCTGTAGATTTTTTCTGATGTTATCTTTCCATGTTGTTCTTGGTCTACCTCATGCTCTACATCCTTCTCTTTTGGTGTATACCTCATATGGTATGGCGTGACAAGGCATCCTCTCAGTGGGCAAAGAATTTGATATCTGCTGTCTCTGTATGTAATTTAGAATAGGTTCTGTGCTGACTTTTCTTCTCTTATGATCGATGTGAAAGAGCAGTCCAACTAATAAATAATCCAGCAATAAAATGAGGGAAGAAGCATGGACTGACTAGAATACCATCAACTCTGTACAGATTGGGATAGATTGGATACGGACAAATCTCTTAAGCTAACATGATTATGTGACATGAGAGTAAAGCATGGTCAAGCAGGTCTATGCTGCCTTCGAGGTCGGGACAGGAGACATAATAACCAACTTCTCATGGGAACAGTAGAGGTAACTTAGAGTGGTTGCTGCGACGGAGGACTGAGCACCCACAGAAATACCCAAAGTGCAGTGATGCTGATTTTGATAATCATAACATAACGGTACATCATACATCCTTAGTACAACAGATGCTGTTCATTACTCAAAAACATGGCATCAAAGCCATGTTTGTGCGTTCGTCGGCCGAGCCAAAGTTGATGAAGCTGGAAAAGGTGACAGCATAGGTGACTTGGGAAGACTGAGCATGTATGGGAATACCCAGAGTGCAGTGATGTTTGTTGTGATAACCTAGCACCACATTTATCGTGGGAGATTCTTATATAGGTCCCATGGGCACCAATCACCCCTCCGCCACCCAGAGTAGGGGGGGGGGGGGGGGGGGGTAAATAGACCCACTGCCTCCTTATCAAACAGGAGTTTAGACAGTGACTTATTAAACTATCACCTCTAGGAAGGCTAACCCGGTCAACATATGCCTGCAGAAGCCAGATGTATCGGCCAAAAGGCGTAAATATCACAGCTATGATTTAAACAGGCACAACGCGACATGAACATACAAGAAGAAGAAGAAGCAATCATCAGCGTGCAGCAGTTTCTTTGCTGAACGTCACTCTCATCACGGCTTCTAGAAGAAAACTTAGTCTCTCCCCTCGCGTACTTTTTCTTTTTCACCCAAAGTGTCACTTATATACTGTGCCTATCTTCGTAGGGATTCCTGGCTTCTTTTTCCTGGTACCAATCTTTCTGACATTACCATTTTAATAAATGAATGAATCGATCAAGAAGTGACATCACTGAACTCGTGACATTCCCACATATGCTCCGTCCTCATCTTGAGCAGCCTGATATTATTGTTCTTATATTATTATTAATGACATTATTTTTTTAGATTTATTAGGTTTGCTGAAATCGAAAATGTTGGACCAAAAGGCAGATACCGCAGCCTAGCTGTAAACCACAACACAATGTGTCAACTGCCCCTTCAGGGGAGAATGAAGAAGCAGAAATACCTGAGAGAATATGTCGGTGAAGAGACACTCTTGCAGAAAATGTGTGCTTGTGTCCAGCAGGTTTCGGACTGTGAGTGAACCAAAGGCACTAGAAGTAAAAAAACAATAACAACATACAATGTTATGCTTTTTCTTGTTCATTTTTTGTTCGCTGGAAATAGATGATCTATATCTGCAATGTTGTCTCTAGTATAAACTTCACTGTCTTTTGTAATTCACTCAGCGACCCGTAAAGTTTGACTTGCACCGAAGGTTTTCTTGGCCAAAAGTTTTACCTTGATATGTTGTATCTATGGTTAGCGGGGTAGGGGTATCCCCTATCAAAGGAGAAGTAAGACGCCTCCTTTCCTCCGCTAGTCTACGGGACACCCTTGGGCAAGGTGGAGTACCCGTTTAGCCCCCCAATCAGGGATACGCGAAGCCATGGAAGCAGGTGGTGGATGGAGTGTAAGAGCAGCCGACAGGTATTGTTGGTTATGGTCTGCACTCTGCGGCGATAGGCAGATGATCTCATCAGTAGAGACAATGGCTATGGCCACCGACTAGTATAGTCACTGCTCAGGAGGAAAGCAACGACAAACTACCTTCTGCAAATTTTGCCAAGAATCCATAACAATCATGATCTCCAGATGGGTGTATCAGACGCAGGACATCTTGCTCAGGATAGGAAGGTTTTCCGGAGGGTTGTTATGGCAGCGAGGTTCCGCGAGGGACATGCTACTGAATGAATGAATGAATGAATGTTGTATCTAGGACAGTCTTGGAGGACATGATCTGTTGTCGCTAGTCCACATGTGTACATGGCTGATTCGCCGATTTTAAATTTTGTGTACATGTGGCTACGAAGTCGATTGTGTAATTTTGTGCTGATATGCAGATTTGTAAGCATCAGAATTTCAAAACAACCTTCTTCTTCTTCTTCTTTGTTCACCGGCTGAAAGCTGCACTGGAAATTCCTGGTTCATCCATTCGTACTTTGGCTTTGTGCCAGGGCCTGAGTTTCTGCGTGTACATCCAATTTACTGGCTCATCTGTGTGCAGTTGGTTGTTCCTTGCCGCTCCCGCAGATGCGCTCCGACTTCAAAGGAAGCTCCCAATTATTCGACTTCTATGACATGCTTGTTGGCGAAGCAGTTTTCTTGTTTTCCCGACAATCGTTCCCGGAACCCATACGGGTGCTTCAAAACAATGTTTTCCCACTGTACATTCAAACAATGCAGACACAAACAATACATTGCACAATTTATTGCCTTACAAACTTTACAGGTCGTTGAGACAGTAAAGTTCATACTAGAGACAACATTGCAGATATGGATAATTTATTACAAGCAAACAAAAGAAGAAGAAGAAGAAGACGATGATTGCCTTACATATTCTGCTGTATCTTGTCAGAAGAGTTACTACGGAGATAAATCACTGTACTAATAAACATACAAATGAATCCTTTTAGGCGAAATACAAAATCGTGTGGCTGATCGTGAACTTCTGGTGTAGAGATGTAAATCCTAACATATTATTGTTATTCACTATTGAGAATGTCTGTAGGTTTTCTATGATCTTCCATTCTCCAACAGATTTGCAGATGATATTCTCGCAAAAAGGCAGGGGAGAAATAGGGAACAAACAGCTCGGGAGCTACAGGCAACAGTCGACGAAGTGACCGACTGGTTGTACGAAAATGAGTGCTGTCATCCACCCAGAAAAGGCGTCTGTTTTGTGGTGCTCTTTAGACAACAGGATTGTTAGAGCTGATGTCCCAGGTCTCACGATAGATGATAGAAACGTCAACACTAGAGCTGATGTCCCAGGTCTCACGATAGCTGATAGAAACGTCAACACTAGAGCTGATGTCCCAGGTCTCACGATAGATGATAGAAACGTCAACACTAGAGCTGATGTCCCAGGTCTCACGACAGATGATAGAAACGTCAACACTAGAGCTGATGTCCCAGGTCTCACGATAGATGATAGAAACGTCAACACTAGAGCTGATGTCCCAGGTCTCACGATAGATGATAGAAACGTCAACACTAGAGCTGATGTCCCAGGTCTCACGATAGATGATAGAAACGTCAACACTAGAGCTGATGTCCCAGGTCTCACGATAGATGATAGAAACCTCAACACTAGAGCTGATGTCCCAGGTCTCACGATAGATGATAGAAACGTCAACAGAGAGAGCAAACTGAAGCATCTGGGAATCACGTTTGACAGGAGCCTGCCCTACAAGGACCATGTGGAGATTGTTGTGACAAGATGCCAAAAAGGACTCAATGCGCTTAAGACCATGGCTGCAATGGATATAGAGCAGAGAATATTTTTCACACTTTAACAGCACATGAACCTCTTGGTGATTGTCTAAAGACTAGGTCGGATCACTGTCTCAAAGAGTCAGCTGGTTAAACCAGAGGGCTTACAGATGACAGCGATGCGGGTCATTCTGGGCTGTACCAGAGACACAATACATCCTTGGTTTGCTGATTGTTACAGGTAGGCTCAAGGTACTGCAGGGAAGTCATACCTCAGTGTAGCTGCAGAAACTGACACCTTTGCATGAAGTGCTGGATGCAGTTAAGGATCAACAGCTGATAAGAGGGAGGTCGTGGCTGGCTCAGGCAGAGGACAAGATCAGACAGGTTTGTATCCTGGAGAACACTGGGTGAGGACATGAGTAGGTGAAAGTGCCAGCGGAACAGTTAGATTTGTGCAGTTATAATCACATTGATCCGGGAGTGCAGATAGTGGCCAGTGGGTGCCATGGAGGTGGAAATTCAGCAATTAATTCAAGATAATGCTCGCTCGGGTGATATGATTATTTATACAGACGGTTCTTAGCAAAAGTTAATCGTCTACGTTTGGTGCAGGAGAGCTTAGCACAGGATACCGCAACATCCAGCTTAAGAAGTGGAGATGGTTACTACAGCTTTCGTCCAGTTAGAGAACACGACACACACACACACACACATCATGATTGTAACTGACTCAGAAAGCATGCTGAGGAAGATGAGGACAGGTATGGTTCATGCCGAGTGGAATGCTTCGCTACGGAGGTCAAGGGTGAGGAGTACTGTCTGGATCTTTTCTCATGTTATGCTGGTGTGTTGGGAATGAACAGGTGGACAGATTGGCTGGCCTTGCACAACTTGGTGGAATACTGAAGCATGATAAGGCAGATGTGGTCAAGGCCTTTATGGGAGCACATGTACAATTCAGAGAAGGAAACGGATAATCACAGTTTGGTAGGATTGATGCAGTGAGGAGTGACGAGCGGATCTGACCGATACTCGACGCGCAGAGGAAAGGCAAGATGGATATATTCTTCTTCTTCTTCTTCTGCGTTCATCCAAAGATGTAATAGCTTTTTGTCTATTTACAGCATGGTTGCGATATTTGCACATTTTGGCCAACACATCTGACTTCTGCGGGTATTTGTTGACCGGTTTAGCCTTCCCGGTTAGATGGATATATAATCAGACTGCTTCTGGTACCATTGGTACTGGAACACGGAACTGGCTTCTGAGGAGGAGGATGGAGCGCTTGGGGGAATGTCCTGAGTGCTGCGATGTCAGTTCTTGAATCAACTCAACTCATTCTTCAACTGTGAGCCCTATGATCTTTCATTCTCCAAGTGTAACCACCTGAACCTATAGTATTTTAACTGACACAGACTCAAAGATGGTGTGCCCGAACTTCTATAAAAGAATAAAATTATTGACTGCAGACAACAAATTCAAGTAGGATTGCTCACCAGGGATTTTGTTCCAAAGATTTCAGCCTTTCGAGGTACTTCTCCAGAAACATATCTGCCCGCTCCTTTGCATTTGTTTCATGTGGCTGGCTTTTTATGGCGATGTCATGGGTCTGGGGACACAAGATGTTATAAGACTGAAGCTGTCATTTATTTAGTTTATTTTAAAAGTCAGTTGTCAGTTTGTGTCAAAAGTGAATTCAAGTCAGAGGTCAATGCTGGTTCTTCTTCCAATTCATTTCCTCATTTACTGCTTCAGGGGTCAATGTTGGTTTTTCTTCTAATTCATTTCCTCATTTACTGCTTCAGAGGTCAATGTTGGTTTTTTTTCTAATTCATATCCTCATTTACCGCTTCAGATGTCAATGCTGGTTCTTCTTCTAATTCATATCCTTATTTACCGCTTCAGATGTCAGTTTTGGAAGTCAGTTTTAGTCAATTTTGAAAGTCTTCTTCTTCTTCTTTGAGTTCACTGGCTGTAAACTCAGGCTGAAAGTTCTGGCTGTTCATCCACCTCTAGTCTTGTTCCTGAACTTGAGTGTTGCACGCATATCCATTTTACAGACCTGAATTATGTGTATGCAGACTGTTGGTTCCTCACTTCTCAGGCAGATGTACTCCGACTCTGAAGCAAATACTCAACTAGTCAACTCCTATGTCATGCTTGTTGGGGAGGCAGTGGGTCTATTCTTGTTGTTTCCCACATTGGGGCCCCGGAACCCACACAGGGGAGTACTTCTTCTTCTTCTTTGCGTTCACCAGCTGTAAACTCTGGTGGAAAGTTCTGGTTGTTCATCCACTTCTGGACAGCAGTCCTGTTCCAGAACCTGAGTGTTGCGTGTGCATCTGTTTGACAGATCTGACACATTTGTGTGCAGACTGTTGGTTCCTTGCCTCTCAGGCAGATACACTCCGACTGCGAAGGAAGCTCCCAGTTAGTTGACTCTTACGACATGCTTTTGGGTAGGCAGTGGGTCTATTCTTGTTTTTCCCTATAATAGGGCCCCGGAACCCACACAGGGGAGGTAAGTACTGTATTACTTTTCTAGCAACTACATAATTTTTCAGAGACTAAATGTGATTTTCATTATACAGAAGTGCCAAACTACACAATGTGGTGAGCCAGAACCAGTGTTCATAGAAGTCAACATCTGTCTCCAGCGCTCTGTGGTCATCCTAGAAGCAGCTTCCCTACCAGGAGCCTAGCCAACATAGCTAGGATCAATGTTAACTGCGTTAGCACAGTCGATAAGAGGCTCGCTTTCAAATCCAGCTGCAACTCGCTGCAGCCCACGGTCGGTGTTCGAAATCGGGTGGTTCCCGGGGTTCACCCAGCCTCTAGGAAATGGGTATAAGAGTGATACTCTGGGGTAAATGGAGGAACGTCGTTGTAGCTACAGAGTTACGTGCGGAGAGCGACACAGGCGGAGTTTCTTATCAGCTGCCTGTACTGGTGGCAGAGCACTTATGGTTTATAACCGTGTGCAATGACGCTGGTTCACATATCCCGACTCTACCTTTACCTTTTAATGTTAACTTTAAACTCGAAGTGCATCCGCCTGTGAGGCAAGAGACCAACAGTCTACACACAAATAAGCCCCATTGAAAAACAGATGCGCATGTAAAAGTCAAGTCCTGGAATAAGATACAATGTTAGAAGTGGATGAACAAACATAATTTTCTGCCGGAGTTTACAGCCAGTGAACGAGAAGAAGAAGAAGTGACGTTGGCACAGTGCCAGCGGTATGTATGAGTTACAGTAACAACTTATCGAACATAAGGAGTTAAAAATAATGCCTGTCCCGAGTTTCAAAGAAATGATCCGCAGGTAGTTAGACTGACCTTGATGGCACTTTCAGCAAAGCACTGCAGCCAGTAGTTCCTCGCATCGGCATCTTGGGTCAGGTCTACGGTGTCTGGGAAGTAACTGGTGACGTCCAGCAGGAGTGGACAGGGCAGGAGAGCCCGGTCAAGTCTGTTGATCTCCAACATGGCAAACTAGCGATGGAAAACACAAAAATGGTGGAACTGCATGTATTTGTGCAGTTGAAAATTATTCTACATTTTCTTTTGCAAGAGATGGAGCGACAAAATCAGGAGCAACCTAACAGGAATGAACATCAACTTGTACAATGCATTTGAAAAAGTGCACAAACAATCCTTACATCTCTCACCAACACCTCACTGAGATAAATGGTGGAACAGAAGAAGAAGAAGGAGGAGGAGGAGAAGAAGAAGAAGAAGAAGAAGAAGAAGAAGAAGAAGAAGAAGAGAAGGAGAAGAAGAAGAAGAAGAAGAAGAAGAAGAAGAAGAAGAAGAAGAAGAAGAAGAAGAAGAAGAAGAAGAAGAAGAAGAAGAAGAAGAACAAGAAGAAGAAGAAGAAAAAAGAAGAAGAAGAAGAAGAAGAAGAAGAAGAAATTATTCTAGGGCACTTCCAGCAAGCCGTTAGAGGATTTCATTGTTTAAATACTCAAGATCAGAAGAGGTTCAAATCAAAGTTAAATCTCAGTAGTAATAGGGTAATGCTTCCTGATGCTATACCATACAAGTTAAAGTTAGTTGCGTCTCCTTTACAGGATGTTACAGAACCAACTCCAGCAATTTTTTGGCTGTTGTGGTTTTTCTAGGCAAATTTTATGTTCAGTAGTTTGCCATTGCTTACTGAATGGTCAGCTCTCGGTACCACTGTCAAAACCAACACAAGACAAACCGTCCGCAGTTGGGATCGAACCCTGCACCCTGGAATTACAAAGGGCGTTTGCAACGCCAAAGCCACATAAGCGAACATACCATACCATACAAGGCTTATACCAAAAGAGGAGAGGTAGACCAAGAACAAGATGGGAAGATAACATCAGAGAAACTCTACAGCACCACGATGAGTCTATGGTGGAAGCAGCCAGAACAGCACGAAGCAGGACCTTATATCTCACTTGACACCTGAAAGCGGTAAAAGAATACGTCAAGAAGAAGAAGCAACAGGGCACACAAAACAAAAAAAGAATAAAATGGTTTGGTTATCTGGTCAGAATGGAAGAAAATCAGCCAGCAGCTAAAGCATACTAAAATAGAACATCAGGCCACAAGGCAAGAGGCAGACCAAGAAAGACATGGGTGGAGGGAGTAAAAGAGACACTACAGAATCCCAATATATCATTAACACAAGCTACACAACTAACAATAGGCCAGAAACTGAGCACTTAAGGTAGAATGGCTAGGGCAGTTGCCATGAACTGTGAAGGTAATAATTTTTTTTTTTGCCCCAGAGGGGAAAAAATCTCCATCCACCAAAAAGGATCGAACCAGGGTCTCCCGCACAAGTGTCTAGACTCTAACCACTCGACCTGCTGTTCTTCACCCAAGTCGCACAACAGAAACATAAAAACAAAGAAGAAGACGTACATTGGTGGACATCTGCCTCATGAAGGAGCCGTTGGTGTGTTTCGGACTTGCCAGGCCAGAACTGCCGGCCAGGTTTTCTCCCCAGGAGTATCGCTCAGAATCTGAAAAGACACAGATAAACCTAACATGGTGCTACAGAAATCCATGATTTGCATCGTTTAACAAGACTCAGAAAAGAAGCACAGCATGGATTTGTTGCCAGCAGACTGGCAAGCATGTGTGTGGGGTAATAAGCAGGCTGATAGATTAGCTGCTGCCACCCCTATGGGTGACAAGCTTCTTTATGATAAAGCAGATGTGGTGAAGCTTCTCTGGGATCAAATAAACTAAGCAGCTACATAAAAGTAGCACAAAACTGGTGAATGTAAGAATACCAACAAGAAAGGGTTGAATACAAAAGTGGCAACAAGAAAAAAGAAAAACATAAAAGCGGCAACAAGAAAGGGTTGCACATGAAAGTACCAACAAGGGGGAAAAAAGGTAAAACATGAAAGTGGCAACAAGAAAAAGCTTAAACATGAAAGTGGCAACAAGAAAAAGGTTAAACATGAAAGTGGCAACAAGAAGACGGTTAAACATGAAAGTGGCAACAAGAAAGAGGTTAAACATGAAAGTGGCAACAAGAAAGAGGTTAAACATGAAAGTGGCAACAAGAAAAAGGTAAATAACATGAAAGTGGCAACAAGAAGACGGTTAAACATGAAAGTGGCAACAAGAAAGAGGTTAAACATGAAAGTGGCAACAAGAAAGAGGTTAAACATGAAAGTGGCAACAAGAAAGAGGTTAAACATGAAAGTGGCAAACAAGAAAGAGGTTAAACATGAAAGTGGCAAACAAGAAAAAATTAAACATGAAAGTGCCAATAAAAAAAGGTTAAACATGAAACTGCCAACAAGAAAAAGTTAAACAGGTATAAGTGATGGGGAAAATAAAAGATAACATATGAAAGTGCCAATAATGAAAGGTTAAACAGGAAAGTACTAACAAAACAGGGTTACACCTACAAGGCCTCTTTTTCCCAACCTTCAGGCGTAATGGGCACATAGGGCCAGACCTATATTTTATAGCCCAATCAGCACTAAGGTGATGTGGTGAACATCACAAAGGCCATCTTTACTTAGCAGGATTTTACAGCGTTAGCGCAGTCGATAAGAGACTCACTTTCAAATCCAACTGCGACTCGCTGTAGCCCACGGTCAATGTTTGAAACCGGGCAGTTCCCGGGTTCACCTTGCCTCTTGGAAATGGGTACCGGCAGTTCCCGGGTTCACCTTGCCTCTTGGAAATGGGTACCAGAGTTGACACTCTGGGGTAAATAGAGAAACGTCGCTGTAGCTACAAAGTTTCAAGCAGACGGCGACACAGGCGGACAATCCTTATCAGCTGTCCGTACTGGTGGCAGAGCACTTATGGTTTACAACCGTGTGCAATGACGCTGGTTTACATCTCCCGACTTGACCTTTACCTGGTAATAATTTTATGCTAGGTCGACATGGGAGCAAAGGCCACTTTTTGAAAAGATCTGGCTCAATGCGGATTTGAACTTACAAGTTTCAGGCCTGAGGTGAGTGCCTAAATGCTACACCATGGCAGCTTCCCTGCACCTAAAAGTATCATTAAAAAATAGGTAAATGTGAAAACAAACGGATTCACCTTCCTCCTCCATCCCCTTTAGGAAAGCTCCAATAGCACAGAGGTAGCCTTCGTGCCGAAGAAACAATGCTTGGATCTCGCCCTTATTACCAAAAAAAAAAAAAAAAAAAAAAGTTCAAATTACATTGAAATCTCACAGTTTGTGCATTCATACTCAATGGGGTGTAGAGAGGGAGGCAAAGGGGGAAAGGAGTATGGGTGTGTGCGTGTGCATGTTTTTTGTAACTTTCTAAGAAATAGTAGACATCTCACTGTTTGCATGTTTGGACTCATAAGCTTGTAGAGAGAAAGAGACAACAGAAAGACAGAGACAGGGAGAAAAGGAAACAGATGGGGGAGGGGGAGATGAGTGTGTGTTTTCTGATTAAGGTACCTCACTGATGGACACAGGCGAGAGAGTGAGTCCGAAGAACTGCGTAACTCTTCCTCACTCAAATCCAAGTCCTTATACAAAACACTTTTCATCCCTCAGGCATGGTGCATCAGCCTGCCAGGCAGAAGAGGTTGCACAGGCAGAGAAACGGAGGCAGACTAGAAAGAATCCTACTGCTAATCCCACACTTACTACGGCTTCCACCTGTTGTCCGCACTGCCCAAGAACTTTCCTGGCTCATATTGGACTAATCATCAGTCACCTTCGTACTCAAAATCATTGATGATTACTACTATGGAGAAAAGTGGTCTTCATCACTCATGATGGACAAAAACACCGCATTATTTGCACACATGTGCTCAAAATTGTGTAAATGGTGTGTGCGTGGTTTTAAAACAAAACAAAACAAGGTATGTTAATAAGAAGCATGAGTGTAAATGGTGTGTGGGTGGTTTTAAAACCCAAAAAAACAAGGTATGTTAATAAGAAGCCTGAGTGTAAATATATGATGTACTAGCTGTCCCCGGCACTAGCTGTCCCCGGCACTAGTTGTCCCCGGCACTAGCTGTCTCCAGCACTAGCTGTCCCCAGCACTAGCTGTCCCCAGCACTAGCTGTCCCCAGCACTAGCTGTCACCAGCACTAGTTGTCCCCAGCACTAGCTGTCCCCAGCACTAGCTGTCCCCAGCACTAGTTGTCCCCAGCACTAGTTGTCCCCAGCACTAGCTGTCCCCAGCACTAATTGTCCCAGTCCTATTTTTCCCAAGCACTAGTTGACCCCTATACTATTTGTCCCCAGCACTAGTTGTTCCAGTACTATTTGTGCTCAGCAATAGTTGTTTCTGTATTATCTGTATCCAGCACACGCTGTCCTAGTACTATTTGTCACCAGCACAAGTTTTCTCTGGTACTATTAGTCCCCCAGAAATAGTTGTCCCAGTACTATCTGTCCTCAGCACAAGCGGTTCAAGTACTATTTATGCCCAGCACTAGTATTTTCCCAGTGCTAGTTGTGCCCAGCACAAGCTGTTCCCAGTGCTAGTTGTCCCCAGCACAAGTTGTTCCCAGTACTATCTGTCCCCATTTTACGCGGGGCTCAGGTCATTAAACAAGTATCCAACATGGCGCCTACAAGAATGTCCCTTGTACAGCCCATTAACATTTTTAAAAAAGAAAGGGGGGGGGGTTAAGGACCCTTTTCCACTGGCCATACAGGGCTAAACCTATATTTTATAGATGTGGTCAGCATCATGCCAGCTGCCTTTACTTCCCAGGACTGTACCTGGTACCTATTCAAAGCTGGGTCGACCTGGAAGTCAAGGTCATTAAAAAAAATAACAAGTCTGGCTCCTTCAGGACTCGAACCCACGACCTTCGGAACCACAGGAGAGCATCTAGCTGCTTCACCACGGTGTACATCTCATTAAGAATAGAATACTGGCTCAATGAGTCAACATCATCATCATGTAGCAACTCCTTTGCAGAACGCTGCTCTCGTCATGGTCTGCCTGAAAGAAGCATTCCTGTTCTCGCGCCAGCTCTCCCACCTCGTTTACTTTCATATTCAATGAATCACTTAAATCATTTGTCCATCTTAGAGTATATCGGCCCCTACCCCTCCTTCCTGGTACCATGCCTTCTGTTATTATTTTTTCCAATCCACCATGGCGCTTGATATAACCAAAATGTTTCAGCTTCCGAGACAAGATGCTGTTTATTAGCCAATCTTCCCTGATGTTCAGATCTTTTGAAATGTCAGTATTTTTTCTCTTCTGTGTCCATGGTATTCTCAATGTCGACACCAAACTCAAAGTTGATGGAACCAAAAAAGAACTCCTAAAAACAGTATATCTATTCAGAAGAAATCATAAAAACTCTTCTGTCTGTGAAAATCAGAGAGCAAAGAAGAATGATGCTGGTCATCCTAAAAAAACAGATTTTTTACCAGGAACCTCACCAAAAAAAGATAGGATCAACGTTTCCTTTGAAAGCAGAGTGCATCTGCCTGAGAGGTTAAGGAACCAACAGTCTGCACAAAGTGGATGTGCATGCACCACTCAAGTCTTGGATCAAGGCCAAAGTCCACAAATGGTTGAACATCCAGGATTTTACACTAGATTTTATTTAATAGCCTCTGAACATAAAGAAAAATAATTTATGACATTACATTCCCCGTGTGGGTTCTGGATCCCCACTGTAAGAAAACAAGAACAGACCCACTGTATCCCCAACAAGCATGTCCTAGGAGTCGACTAGCTGGGAGCTTTCTTCAAAGTTGTAGTGCATCAGCCCAAACGGAAAGAAACAACCAACTGCAAATAAGTCAGTAAAATGGATGTACATGCAAGAATCAGGCCCTGGCACAAAACCAAAGTCCAAATGGACGAACAACCAGGACTTTCCAGTGGAGCTTACAGCCGGTGAGCAAAGAAGAAGAAGATTTGCCTCTTGACCTACCTTTGACCAGAAGTTGATGGCGAAGGACATTGTGTGCATGGTGAACGGATGACCCCGAATGAAGAAACCCCCAAAGTAAATCTTTTTGATGCCGTGGAGCTTTGCCTGCAGGTAAGCAATCTGTCCGATGTCGTTGCTGATACACAGGAGCAGGCTTCGGGCAATGTCTTCTTTCTTGAAGGATCCAGCTGGCCGAGATAAGTAACAACACAATCATTAAGAATCTTGCAAAAAAAAGGAAACCTCCATGGTGTAGGGGCTAGATATTCATTAGTGGATCCGAAGGTCACAGGTTCAAATCTGAATGGAGCTGGATTTTTGTCTTCTTTAAAAATGACTTGGCTACCAGGTCAACACAGCCTCAAATGAGTTCAGGTAAAGTCCTGGGAAATAAAGGCAGCCAACGTGATGTTCTCCCCGTCACCCCCCAAGTGCTGACTGGTTTATCAAATATAGGTCTAGCCCTATATGCCTAATATGGCTGAAAGCATAAAAAAGGGGTCCTTTACTTTATTTGCAAAATATAATCATCATCCTGTTACCTCATGTAGATTCCAGTGTTCCAGTTTACGAGAGAAAAATAAATAGTCCCCATAACTCTTTCAGTCCCAAATAAAGCTCACCAATAAACTGATTCATATGCTTGTATGCTCTTCTTCTTCTGTTTGTATGGGCATAAGTATGTATGTACATACGTATGTATGTATGTATGTATGAATGAATGTATGTATGTATGTATGATTGTGTGTGTGTGTGTGTGTGTGTGTGTGTGTGTGCGCATGTGTCTGTACATACATATGTATTTAAGTATGTGTGTGCGTATGGATATATATGTTTGTATACGAATGTATGTATATGTATGTAGGTAGGTATGCATAGGTGTGTAAGAAAGTGAGTAAATGCGTGTCTGTGTGCATGCATGTGTAAGTAAGTATGTGTGTGTGTATGGATATATATGTTTCTATATGAATATATGTATATGTATGTAGGTAGGTACGTATATATGTGTGTAAGAAAGTGAGTGAATGCGTGTCTGTGTGCATGCATGTGCTCATGCATTTTACCATCCGTGCTTTTGTGTGTTTTTTATATTCATAATATGCATATTGTTATATGAACATAACATGCTGTATTGATAAAATACAACTGCTGTGTGAAAGACGGGTGTCTGGAAGGGGCGAATGTAAAACAAGCCTTGTGTGCTCAATTTTTGACCTTTTGAAAACAAAAAGTCGTTCATTCATTCGTTCTTCTTCCTGTTCAGTCGCCGTAAACTCCAGCAAAAAGTTCTGGTTGTTCATCCACCTCTGGACTTTAGTCTTGTTCCAGAACCTGAGTGTGGTGTGCATATCCATTCAACAGATCTGGCTTAATTGTATGCAGACTGAGGGTTCTTTGCCTCTCAGGCATTTGCACGTCAACTTTGAAAGATGCCCCCAATTATTCGACTCCTAGGACATGCTTGTCGGGGAGGCAGTGGTTCTATTCTTGTTTTCCCCACCATGCGACCCCATAACCTATATGGAAAATGCTTGTACATTTTATGTTTAGTCGGGTCATGCTTAAACAATCAACAACACATTTGCCCCAAACAAGGGATGCATATTTGGACCCTGTGGATGTAGTATACCCATTGTTTTGTTTATTTCACAACTGACTCACCGGGGCATCAACTATGAACCTCTGGGGACGGAAAGAGTTAACAAAGGTCTTGTAAAAAGACAACTTCTTTTTATTCTTCACGTCCACCAGCTGAAAACTCTGGCCGAAATTTCTGGTTGTTCGTCCACCTCTGGACTTAATCTTGTGTTGTGTGCCCATCTGTTTTACAGATCAGGCCTAATTTGCATGCATACTATTGGTTCTTTGTCTCGACTCTTACAAAAGGAGAGCCATGGGGTCTATCCTTGTTTTCCCTACAGGAAGCCCTAGATACCACATGGGAAGAAGGGGGCCAATCAGAAAGAGGCAATCTACATTCTTTGGTCATGTGATGAGAAGAAGAAAACTGGAGTATGTAGTGACAGTAGGAAAGTTGGAGGGGAGGAGAGGCAGAGGGGGGCCGAGAGAACAGATGCTGGACAGTGTTACATCATGGCATGGAAGATCATCGGTGTCAGAACTGACTGAAAGTACACGAGACAGAAGGTTGTGGATAGACATGACTACCAACGCCACACAGCATGGACTTTAAGAAAAAGAATCAGAAGTATTTTCTTCAAAGTCAGAGCGCATCTGCCAGACAGGCAATAAACTAAATGTCTACACAACAAAAAGCCACATCTGTAAAACTGTTGTGCATGCAAAACTCAAGTTTTGGAATAAGACCAAAGTCAAGAATATTGAATGTTGAATTAAGAATCGACATCACAGCACTAGGGACACTTACATAAGCGCTCCATCCCCTTCTTCAGCAGCAAGCGAAGATTTAAAATTCTGATGGTACCAGTAACTGTCTGATTGTATATCCGTCTCGCCTTTTCCCTGAATGTTTAGCGTCGGCCAGATCCCCTTGTAACTCCTCACAGTGCCATTCTCCTCAAACCGTAATGATCTATCTGTTCCTCTGCACTGTTCACTCATTCCCAAAGGGCCCTCACAACATCCAACTTGTCATACATCAGTTCACCACAAAGTGGTGCAGAACTGGCAAAGTCAAGAAGTGGATGAACAACCAGAAATTTCTGCCAGAGTTGACAGCTGGTGAACATGAAGAAGTAAAAAGCATCAAAAGCAGAATTCCAAATTCCCGTAAAAAAGCTCCATTAGAAGATGTGAGGCACAAGAGGAAGCATACAGAAAAATATTATTGCAGTGGAACCTCGGAATACAAGTGTACCTAAAAATTGGTTTTTCAGGATTCAAAAGCAGGTTCGCTAATTTTATGTGTGCCCCAAAATACGAGGCGAGATCCAGGATGCCAGCTGGAGGTACAAGAACGCTCGTTAATTGACAGTACCACAATAACTTTTAAATGGATTAGGTCAGGTTAACATTGCAGAAGAAGGGCTTGAGCTAGTCAGCAAGGCACTTGATGGTGTTGGAATGTAGCACCGCCGTAGGAAGCAACCTTTTCTTCCACTGCACTCCCCCCCCCCCCCCCCCCTTTCCACAAATCTTTATTTAAAAAAAAAAAAACATGCCACACATTGAAAAAACAAAAGACATCAATTTGTTCTTTAATATTTGGAGGGCTGGAACGAATTTAAATAATTTACACACATTTCCATGTGAAAAAATTGTTTCTGGATAGCAGTGTTCAGTCCATCTCTGGACTAGTTCCAGAACCTGTGTTGCGTGCCCATCTGTTTTACAGATCTGACTAATTTGCATGCAGATTGTTGGTTCCTTGCCTCGACAAAGAAATGAGAACTGGGAGCTGGGTCTAGTCTTCATTTCCTTACACAACAAGGGCTTGAATATTTTCACTTACCTTGGCTGATGTAACGGAACTGAATAAATTTGTATCTTGACGTTAAAATGTAGCTAAAAAATGTGCAAAAGAATATCGTGATTACTCACTAGCAGTGTCTCGAGTTGAGCGAGCTGCCTTGCCGAAGCTGCTGGCAATCACATCCCCTCCCAGACCCACAGCATCGTAGTTGCCCCCATAAATGTCCTTGACAAGCATATCCACCGACTTGTGGTCACCTTGTTCGGCCAAATCCAGCAGCTCATCAAACTCCTGTCAGGCCATTGTTCCAAACACAAAAATCAGTTACCATTTAGAACAATTAAGCGGCGTCAGTGACTTAGGCGTCGGTGGCTCAGGCATTGCCAGTCCGACTTGTGTTCACCTTGTTCGGCCAAATCCTGCAACTCATCAAACTCCTATCATGCCATTGTTCAAACAACAAAAATCAGTTACCATTTACAATAATTAAGCGGTGTTCGTGGCTCAGGTGTTGTGAGTCCGACTCGTAATTCCAATGTACCGCGATCGAAACCCACTGCTGGCTGTGTGGATTTTTATCATGGTATAGGGGCGTCGCAGGTCGACCCAGCCTAAAATGGGTACCAGGATGGCTGTCCTAGGGAAGTAAAGATGGCTGGCGTAATGCTGACCACATTACCCACCTAGTGCCAATTGGTCTGTAAATATATAGGTGCTTTTCCCATATGTACGATGCGCCTTAAGGTGTGAAAAGGGATCTTTACTTTTTAACTTTTATTTACAACTATTGTATTTTGCTTGTTTGTTTTAAACATCGGAAGAAGTTATCGTGTTCTTTTTCTTTCGTTCGCCTGAAATAAGTTGTCTATATCATCAGTTTTGTCTCTCATGTACAATTCACTGTCGTTGTTAGTTCACTCAGTGGTCCATAGAGTTTACGTTCCACTATTGTTCTTTCTAGCAAACAGATTTGCCTTAATAAGTCAAATTCGGTGCAGTCCTGGAGGACATGCTCTGCTGTCTGGGGCACCTTTCCACAAGTGCACATGGCTGATACGCCTATCTTGAATTTTGTGCACATGTGGTTATGTAATGGGCTGTGCCCTGTTCTGAGGCGGAGGATAATTACTTGTTCCGATCTGTCCGTAATAAAACAGTCGTCTTGTGCTGGGGTTGGTGGTTTCCTGAACAATTTAATGATTCTTTTCTTTTGGTGGTATGTGACTGGTACATCCGGCTGCACTTTTGTCTCACTTTCCCCTGCCAGTCGATCCGCTTTCTCATTTCCAAGCACTCCACAATGGGACGGTATCCACCGCATTACGAAGAAGAGGTTGTCACTTGAGCAGCTGTTTAAATCGCACAATGTACTTTACACTGCAAACTAAACAATGAAAATAGCCCAACTACCAGTCATGCGTCTGCCAGTTTACAGAAACAACTGGACATGTTTACAACGACGGTAAGTGACCACTGATTGCCCACATGCAGACTACTGGAAATGACCTTACACATTTAAAAGGCAGTAGCTAAATATAACCTCACTGCCAAAAATTCGATGAAACTTTTATTCCATTTCTGATTCTCTGGTTACTTCAAAGACTCCTGTCCCCTTTTCACAAATTAAAGGATGTTTCAAAGATTTAAAAGGTCTAGCTCCCATTCAAAAGTTTTTCAAATTTTCAAGAAATTCTTTGAGCCTTGAGTGTAGGCAGGGGCCCTATTTTGTGTATGTGTGTGTGTGCTTGTGTGTGTGTGTGTGTGGGGGGGGGGGGAATAGACCCACTTCCTACTTCACTTTCACTTCTGCCGTCAACAAGCATGTAGTAAAAGTCAACTTATTAGAGGTGCTTCCATCAAACTCGTTTTTCATCTGCCTGAGAGGTGAGGGACCAACAGCCTGCATACAAATAAGCTAAATATGTAAAACATATGTGCACGCAAAACTCAAGTTATGGAACAAGATTAAGTTGAAAAAAATGGATGAACAACTAGAACTTTCTGCCGGAGTTTACAGCTGGTGAACATGAAGCAGTAGCAGCAGCAGGAGAAGAAGAAGAAGAAGAAGAAGAAGAAGAAGAAGAAGAAGAAGAAGAAGAAGAAGAAGAAGAAGAAGAAGAAGAAGAAGAAAAAGAAGAAAAAGAAGAGGAAGAAGAAGAAGAAGAAAAAGAAGAGGAAGAAAAAGAAGAAGAAGAAGAAGAAAAAGAAGAAGAAGAAGAAGAAGAAGAAGAAGAAGAAGAAGAAGAAGAAGAAGAAGAAGAAAAAGAAGCAGAAGAAAAAGAAGAAGAAGAAGATATGAGAACTAAGAGCTGGGCCTAGCCTGCATTAAATTATACAATAAGGCCATGAATATTTACACTCACCTTGGCTGAAGTTAGCAAAGAACCCAGTCCCCAAAATGTGCCGCCTCCCGTCGAAGTGCCCCCGATTCTTTCAAACTTGCTTTCCGACTCCACCTGTCAGATAACAATAAACGTCACTGGAAACATCCAAATATAATTTAAAATAAAAAGCTTAACTGGCAAAGTAAACCCTGTTGTTAACTCTTTTACCCCTGTGACCCAGAAAAAAAAAATCCCAAAGACATCTATTTTTGGAATTTTGGGTTTTCCCAAACATAATTTTTTTTACAAATCATAACAGTTATATATTTCCAGGTTGAGCCAGCCTTGAGTGGGTACCAGGTGTAGTCCTGAGAAGTAAAGGCGGCCGGCGTGATGCTGACCATATCACCATGTGCCGACTGGTCGATACAATATAGGCCTAGATCTATAATTCCAACAGGCGTGGAAAAGAGACATTTTTTAAATGCTTGTTGTCGGTCATTCTAAAAAGTTAGTGGGGCTCCTGGTAAACTAGCTTCTATAGCAGCGGTTTTCAACCTGCGGGTCACGACCCTTTTTTGGGGTCGAACAACCCTTTCACAGGGGTCATCTAAGACCATCGGAAAAAATATATTCATTAAAGTAATAACAAAAATAATGTTTGGGGGTCGCCACAACATGAGGAACTGTATTAAAGGGTCACGGCATTAGGAAGGTTGAGAACTAGTGTTTTATAGCAAGCCAGCAAAGGGACATTTACGGGACCGTGGCACACATCGAAAGCGCTGCCCTTTGTGCTTCTCAGGGTAAAGTTACACATTTTTTTTTTCACGTAGGTTCGGCTGCCATTTTTGGCATACAAAAAGAAGAAGAAATTCACTACCACCTGATCATCTGACAAAAAAACATAAACACACACACACACACACAAACATTTAGCTGCATATTCTTGAGAAAGCGCTGCAGTACAAACCCCAACAAATTTTATGGGTTTGCGATTTCACAAGGTACTTTTATGTTCAGTAGTTTGCCATTGCCTAACAAGCATGTGGTAAAAGGGAAATCAATTAGGATTCTGCAGAAATCAGATGAGTTAGGCTGAAAGCTCTGTCTAACTGTAATCTACAGCATCATGTGCCAACCAAGAGAGAGGCGAATGTAGAAGATAGTTATCCTCATGTGTGCTGTGTGTGCAGACTACAGAACATGTCCTGCAAGAATGCCCCTTGTACAATGTATCAAGAAGGGAATACTGGCTCACTGGGTTGACATGCATGCAAAGCTGAATGGAGCTAAATAAAAGGGAACTCCTAAAAACTATCAAGTTTATCACAAGAGCTGGTCTGCCGATGTAAATCAGAGAGATAGTTAGTCGTCCACATGTAGGATGCAATTTTGCATTTTTTGAAGCATCACCCTGGCTTTTGCCGAAGATCCTGAATATAGCCAGGCCATAAGCCAGGCCATAAATATGGCCTAACGGCTGAAAGGGGTTTCTGGGACCTCTCCAAGGTGATCCTCATCCGCATGGTGGCAGTTTGTGTCACCAGATGTTTATCGCTTGTGTAATGTCCTGATGCACACAAGCTGTCCACCTTCCACCACACATGTCTACGTAGAATTATCAACATTTTCTGGCCAGATACAACCTCTAACACTAAACTACTTCAAGCCACAAACCAAGAAACTTTAGACAGTATGATAACCAAGAGAAGATGGAAATGGCTTGGCCACGTAATGAGAATCACTTCTGATATACCTGCCAAAACAGCTCTCACATGGACACAAGAGAAAGAGAAAACAGGGGCGCCCAAAAATAACATGGAGACGAACGATGGAAAGTGACCTGAATGCGGCATCTCTGACATGGAAAACTGCACTGAAGATTGCAAAGGACAGGAAAGCATGGAAAGTCCTCTCTGAAGCCTCATGTGCCACTAGGCATAACGAGAACTGATGATGATGATGTGATGTCCTGATGGGGTACAACAAGAGAGAGAGAGAGAGAGAGAGAGAGAGAGAAGATTCCTAATGTATGTTAAAATAAACAGCCTTTACTGACCTGTCAATTAACTGCGTGAGTGTCCATGATTTACTCCTACATATCAAGATTGGCTATATACAGACATTAATTCTCTTCCTTCCTTATCATGGACAATCACGCAGTTATTTGACAAGTTTAGTAAAGGCTGTTTATTTTAACATATATTTGGAATCTTCTCTCTCTCGTTCATCAAACTATATGTACAACAAACAGTGTCCGTGCGATCATCCGATGAAATAACCCACCTTGCAAAGACTGACTCCAGAGCCAATGTTAACAAGGATGTAAGGAAAGACATCAGAGTCCACACCTTGGAACTTGTACTCCGGGTTCGCATGCCGCATGTAGCAAAACGCCTCGTCAGAGATGTTCTTCAGCAGGAAGTTGCAGCCTTTGATCAGACAATCCATCTCATCTTCCTTGTCCACCCTTGCAACAAATTTTTGTTTTTAAAAAACTGCAAAATGGTGGTTTTCAACTTGGGGGTGGTAGTGGAGAATGTCCCACGCTAAGGGGTGCAAGGAAATTTCAAGGGGAGGGGCGGGGGCATGCCATGCTAAGGGTGGCAAGGAAATTTCAAGGGGAGGGGCGGGGGCATGCCATGCTGAGGGGCGGAAGGAAATTTCAAAGGTTTGGGGCTCCAGCAATTTATTTTTTATTTCTTTGTTCAGTGGCTGTAAGCTCCCACAGAAAGGTCTGGTTGTTCATCCTTTTGTCTTTAACTTTGTGCCAGGGCCTGAGTTTTGCGTGTACATCTGTTTTACTGACTTAATTGTGTGCAGCTGGTTGTTTCTTGCCGCTCAGGCAGATGTACTCCGACTTAGGAGGAAGCCCCTAGTTAGTCGACTCCTACGACATGCTTGTTGGGGAGGCAGTGGGCCTGTTCTTGTTGACCCCACAGTGGGGCCCTGGAACCCCGGAACCTACATAGAAATCAAGCAATTTTTAAACTGAGTGCATGCTACTTGTAACAATATGCTATACACAACAAATTTTTTTTTTACAACTATATAAAAAAAGCAAAAGCCACGGTCGTTATGTTATTTGACACTTTGATTTATGCAGAAGTTTTTCTCCAGGTTCTAGTTAATAGTGCTGGGGATTTTTATTTCTGTCCTCCTCTTTTTTAATCATATTTTCTTTTAAAGTCGAGGGGTGGGGGAGACATGGTAATCCTGCCATACTGTCAAGGGGGGGTCACTGCGTTAAAAAAAAGTTGAAAACTACTGTTACATCAACAAATAGTGAAGCATACAAAACAAAAATTAATTCTTTCCACTGAACAAACCATATTGTCTTCTCTTGCCACATTGTTTATTTTAACTTTTAGGATTTCACTGTTTCTGATCTGATCTATTCATGTTATATTGAAAGCTTTCTGCTGGAATCTCCTTTCAGTTGAAATTTTGGCTATCCTCCAAATAACGGTCCCAAATTATCTAGGCCGAAAATATATCCTAACAGGGCCTCAGTCACATGTAAATTGCGGACTTCCGGCAACTTAAATTGCAGACTTTCCTCTGTGGGTATACAATGCAATGGTTAAGTGGCTTTATCGGCAATTTTACATTACGTTTGTCATTGCTTTGAAGGGTACTGTACTCTTCTTCTTCACGTTCACCAGCTGTAAACTCTGGCGGAAAGTTCTGGTTGTTTATCCACATCTGGACTGCAGTCCTGTTCCAGAACCTGAGTATTGCATGTGCATCCGTTTTACAGATCTGACTCATTTGTATGCAAACTGCTGGTTCCTTGCCTCTCAGGCAGAAGCACTCCGACTTTGAAGGAAGATACAGTACTGATACTATTGTCAAGATAAAGACAGTGCTTTTTAAATAAATCAGTCCCCCGTGTGGGTTACGGGGCCCCATTGTGGGGAAAACAAGAATAGACCCACTGCCTCCCCAAAAGCATGTCGTAAGAGTCGACTAATTGGGGAGCTTCCTTTTAAGTCGGAGTGCATCTGCCGGAGAGGCAAGGAACCAACAGTGTGTATTCAAGAGAATGAGATCTGTAAAACTGATGCACACGCAACACTCAGCTTCTGGAGCAGGACTGCAGTTCAGTAGTGGATGAGCAACCAGAACCTTCCGCCAGAGTTTACAGCTGGTGAACGCCAAGAAGAAGAAGAAGAAATAAATCAGTCAACCATAGAGGTGTCTTTCGTTCATTTTTGTTATTCCTGCAACACAGCAAGTGGTGAGAGTTTTTGTGGCAATATTTAATGAAACAATGATTTCTGAACAAAACCGTATGGGGCTGAAAGAGTTGAAGACATTTTCTGTGGGAATGCTATGGCTAATGAGATATAAATATTACATTATGTTACATAATCATATGTGTTACACAATCATATGTGTTGAAAAAATCATAGAATCATAGAACATGGTGAATAGCATTGGTTATGTAGGCAGTTTTACATTAACTCATTCAATCCGAATCAACTCAGCATGCATTTACTGGCTTCATCTAACCCGATATGCCTCCACTAAATACTTTCTTCCCCAAGTAGCTCTTATTTTTACCTGTGGCAACCCAAATGTTACTTTAACCCGTTCTTACCGTGGCTATTTTAACCTCTCTGGGTCTAAACAGTTATAACAGTATATAAAAAATACTTAGGAATCAATGAGTTAAGTGGTTACCTGTCTAGGATCAAAAGAGTTAAGTTTGCCGTTGCTTTCTGAAGGGCACAATAATGATATCATTGTCAAGATCAAAGCAGTTTACTATCAAATCGCCTGCAGCTGACTTCAAACCTTGGTATGTCAGAACTATAAAATATAATCACATCCTTAAGTCGGACATGTTTTTTTTTTTTTTTTTTATAAATTCCCACCTCCCCCAAAAAAACACACACAAAAACAGCAGATCAAGTGGTTTGGCCATCTCGTGAGAATGCAGCAAGATCACATACCATCACAAGCCCTACATCTCAGAAGATCAGGAGGATGGCCACGTAAAACATGGATCGACAACATTTAAGACACACTACCCCTTCACAGCATGACAATAGCCAGTGGCAGCCAGCATGCACTGACCGCAAATTATTCCTCCCCACGACACTTAACGGCAGAAGTGGTTTATGATGATGATGATGAACAAAAACGGTTACTCACAAAACTCCAAGTTTACTTGTAATAAGTTCTGTGTATTTATAAGCCCCGCCTCCTGTCACTTTGATGGCCTTGTCTAGCATGAACTCTTCCGATTGGATGAGATTTGCCTGGATAAAATCTAGGCACGTTTCAATGTATTTGGTCTCAAATTTCACAAAATGAAGCCGCATTTCCTCTTGGTCAGTTTCCGAAACGTTGTAGATTGAGCTGGAACCAAACTACAAGCCAATCAGTTATTTTATTATTTCACTGATTTATTCATAAATGAATTCATTATTTCAATGCTTTATTCATGAGTTAATCGTTATAACAGTCAATTTTTCATAAACTATTTCATTCTTGTCCCAGATACAACATATCAAAGCAAAAATTTTGGGCACGAGAAACATTGGTGCAAGCCAAACTTTACATCTCGCTGAATGAAATACAACAGACAGTGAAGTTCATACAAGAGACAACATTGCAGATATAGATAATCTATTTCCAGTGAACGAAAGAAAAAGAAGTAGAATTTCATTATTTTAATACCCCCTGAGGGTTCCGGGGCCCCATTGTTGGGGAAAACAAGAATAGACCCACTGCCTCCCCAAAAGCATGTCGTAAGAGTCGACTAATTGGGGAGCTTCCTTTGAAGTCGGAGTACATCTGCTGGAGAGGCAAGGAACCAACAGTCTGTATTCAAGAGAATTAGATCTGTAAAACTGATGCACATGCAACACTCAGCTTCTGGAGCAGGACTGCAGTCCAGAAGTGGACGAGCAACCAGAACTTTCCGCCAGAGTTTACAGCTGGTGAACGCGAAGAAGAAAAAGAATGATTGAAATTTGCAGGACATCAGGAATTTCTCTTGGCAGTGATGAAACATCACAAGCTAGCTTGGTTCGGGTACATGGTGAGACATGATTTGATTGCAAAGACTGTACTTCAAGGAATATGGGGGGAGGGGGGGGGGGGGGTAGTCAAAGAAGAGGAGGGCAAAGAAAAACCTGGAATGACAATGTCAAGAAATTGACATGACTGAGTTATCATACACTTATTCATTCAAGTGAAAGAGAGAAAGATGGCGGGTTTTGGGTGCTAGTGCTTCCATCGATTCACCTCCATGACCCTAATGGGTCAAGGGTTACGCTGTTACGTTAACACTTTGAACTGATGGATAAAACAGTCATTAATTCCTGGGCTGACTAACAGATTCATGAATCATTAATTAACTATTCATTATTATTTCATTAATTAACTGACTCAAGCATTTTTTTAAATTTTATTTACTAATGTATTTATCTGTTAGCTGAATTGTCGTCTTCTTCAGCATTCGGAACCCTTAAGCTTCACTGCTGCAGATATCACCAACCTCTATTTATCTTTGTGAATAGCCTTCTCTTTCCAATGACTTTTGTCATCGTAGTAAGTATGCAAGAATATTATCCATCCACTCAGAATGGATAAGACAAGACTCCCTCATCAAGCCCTCAAATGGACACCACAAAAAATGAAACAGAAAACGGGGAAGACCAAGAGAGACTCTGCGTAGAACCATCATCAGGGAAGGCACAACCAGGGGCCTGATGAACATGCAAGACCCAAAACAGGTGGCAACGAATTGCCAGACAGGAACAGCTATGACCTCGGCCCAATGTACCAAGAGGAAAGACTACGACTAACTAAACCATCTTCTTTGTCTTTTGTTGAATAACTGCTGTTTGTTAATTCACTTATGACTAAGACACAAATCTTTCTCTGATGACTTCGTCTTTCTTTATGTTCACCATCTGTAGACTATGGGGGGAAAGGGAAGGGGGGGGGGGGGGGGGTATGGTTGTTTGTCCACTTCTGGACTTGAGTCTTGTGTGTACATAAGGTTTATAGATCTGGCTTATATGTATGCAGACTGTTGGTTTCTCGCCTCTCAGGCAGATGCACTCTGACTTATAAAGAAACAACCCTAACTAGTTGCCTTTTACGACATGATGACGACGATGATGATGATAACGACAACGATGGTAATGATGATGACGACATCGATGATGATGGTGAAGATAATGATGATAATGATGATGACTAACCGAATCAGGCTCATCAAAAACCATGGTAGATTTCTTTTTCACCAGAGAGCTGTAGGCAACCTTGGCCAGCGACCCACCTTGAGCGTAAACAATACTTATTAAAAACTGGAAGTAATTTTTGGCACTCACTGATTTTATATATTATCAGACAATGCCATAAAAACCAACAATCAAATCAATTAACCAACAGACAATTCAATTAACCAACAAACAATCCAATCAATAAACTGGTAATCTGGTAATCTTAGTTTCAGCTTCAATCAAACGAGTCACCCCATAGTTGCTCCGCTCCTGTGCCAACGAAAAACACACAGAATGTTTATCCTAGCGCCTTGTGGAAAGATTGACAGACTGCTGTCTCGGCATATGCACTAGCATGCACACGCATTAAAAGCATACAGTAGCCATCCAAAGTGCTAACACAAACAGTCCGACATTAGAAATGCAGTTCATCATGGATGGTAGCACTAGCAGATTCACAAACAGATCAGCAGTTGCACAGGCGATCAATTTTAATCACATAATGGCACCAACAATATTGCGACAACCGGCATCATGCCATTTTCTGAATCTACAATTCCCACCACCATGTTGGTCACAGTCGAAAAACATTCCAAATGAAATTCGCAGCTCACAGTGTCACATCATGCACTCAACTCAGAAGCTGGGCAATGAAACTATATCCTTTCAGTCAACAAATGGAGCAAAAATGCAACAGCCGCCGTCTGGCAGAAGCAAACAATTTGCCACAGCTCATTTTGCAAGCAAACAGAACATTCAACCAATAACTAAGTCAATCAACCAACAAACAGACCAATCAACCAACAAACAGTTCAATCAATCAACAGACCAATCAACCGGCAAACTGACCCACCAACAAACAGTTCAACCAATCAACAAACAGTTTGATCAAATAGTAATCACTTCAACCAATAGACAACAGCCCGATTACCCAACCCACAAACTATCTTCCCATAATAACACAGAGAAACTCACCAATGTCAATGGCAAAACGTTTAGCATTGCGTATATTGGGGAAGAGTTGCTCTGTCGGCAGATCTATGCTCCTGGCATAGCTCTTGTGGGCCATCTTTGACGTAGTTACTTCACTTGAATCATAAATATTCTGGGAAATATATAAATATATCACAAATTTTTTTTTTTTTTTTGTTTCCCTGATATGAATTTGAACAAAGAAGACACAAACAATAGACTGCACAATTTATTGCCTGGCATATTTTGCTGTATCTCATCAGGTGCATACTACAGTAACAACTGATTAAAATGATTCTAGGATTCACTTATTTGCTTAATTTTGTTTCCTGTTCTTTCAGTCAACTCTTTTTTTTTCCCTCCTTTTCTCCAACCCTCCCACTCTTAATTCCAGTTTTCTTCTTTTTATGACATGACCAATGAATGTAGATTGTCTCATTCCAACAAAACTCCTTATATCACAATTATTATTATATTATAATTATAACTCAGGTGGGTATCGTTATTAAATTAAATCACTGCTTAACTACTAAACTGCTAGTTTTGACTAAACTCCTACCACTAGTTAAGTTAGTACTATAGTACTACTAGTACTACTACTTCACTCCTACCCTGGGGTGTAACGATAACTTGACTTGTTCGGTCTATTTACACCGCCACCTTCGATGTAAAGCTAGCTTAGTGCCTTGGTGAATATTGACTGTAGTACAGTAGTACCCTAAAGTGTAAAGATACCCAACTAAAGTTCTTTAGTTCTACAAACTTCTTATCTTACTCTACTGGAGTCATTTATGTTTAACAAAACCAATCCCACTGTGTCACAGTCACACAGTCTCAATTTGTCCTTAAAATATGCACTTTAAACAAGCGCTCGACACCTAGACTTACAAAGAAGTAGGTGATGTGCTACCACCTACCTTGGACAAGTCCCTCACAATGTTATTCCTGAGATAAAAGTTTTATGAGGAAAACAATGAAACGAACATCGTCTGCCTTGTTCCTCTGTTAAACACGGCCGAGGATGTGGACAGGCAGTCCTAGCAGTCAAGGGTGACAAATATCATCATCAACTTTCACGTGTATGCTCCGTGGTTCCATGGGTGGGGTCCGGGGGGGGGGGGAGGACCCCATTGCCCCCTGACAAGTAAAAATCGAATACATAGGGGACTTGGTTTCATCTACCTTCCAGGTGAGGAACCAAAAGTCTGTATCCAAATATGTAATATCTGTATTTTTTTTTAAATATCCAGAAACCATGAGTTGTTAACCCTCTGGCTCGGTACTATGAATATCGCAACAATTCGGCCTTGATTCCATGATAGGTACCGTAAATCTGGGAGGAAATGTGGCTTTTCTGCCTACCCCCGGGAGTGAACCCGGACCACATGGAGTTCGTAACCCGCAGTCCGGTTTAGCCAACTACGCTAGAGAGCCGGGCAAAACGGATGTGTAGTACTACTAGTTGTGTACGTAAGTAAACCTCAAGTTCTGGGATACATCCAGAACAGAACATTTCCGCTCTAGTTTTAACATGCGAATACGAAACTAAAAGAAGACGAACACCATCATCAAGTGATGAATGGTGTGGCCGATCATTTCTCTCCCCAACCTGCGATCTCCAAAAACATTGAGCATTTCCTGTGCTGAAAAAAAAAAAAAAAAAAGAGGAATTAGTTGTAGCCACTGAACATTTTCCGTTTATATCTCATTTTGATTTTTGTAGCGGTAAAGAATCCATTGCCGGCTTGCTAGGCCTGTCGCAACTTCACCAGAGTGAATGAAGATCTTAGTAAGATCAACGAATTACTCTTTGCAGATGACCAGGCCTTGATAGCAGATACAGCCATGAAATTGCAACATCTTACATCCATGAATGAAGAATGTAAAACAAATAATATGAAAATCAACACTGAAAAGACAGAAGTAATGTCAATAGGAAAAAAGAAGACAGATCTAAACATAACAATAGAATACAAAGGCATTAAACAGGCATCTGAGTTTAAATATCTCGGAACTACATTTACCGAAGATGGGAAATTGGATAAAGAAATTGACATTAGATGCAGTAAAGCAAACCAAGTATTGGGACAGCTAGCCCCCCTCTTACAGCATAAGACAATCCCAGTCAGCACAAAGAGACATCTTATTCAAAGCATATTTATTCCAAATCTGTGCTACCAGTGCCAGACATGGTCACTCACAACAAACCATAAAAGAAAATTAGTAACTACGGAAATGAGATGTCTGAGAAGGGCTGTAGGATTGACCATAAGAGATAAGATCAGAAATGAGATCATAAGAGAACAAGTCGGCACAGAACCAATTCTGGATTACATACAAAGACAGCAAGTGAAATGGTTTGCCCACTTAGAGAGAATGCCTTGTGACACCATACCATACAAAGCATACATGGGAAGAGAAGAAGGACGTAGAGCACGGGGTAGACCAAGAACAAGATGGAAGGATAACATCAGAAAAACTCTACAACAGCACGATGTGCCTATGGTCGAGGCAGCCAGAAGAGCTAGAAACAGAACCTTATTTCTCCCTCGACACCCACAGCGGTAAAAGAGGAAGTGAAGAAGAAGAAGAAGAAGACTGAACATTTTGTGCTCCTAAACTACAGTTTATTTAGCATAGCCCTAAATCCGGCGCTATCCACATCCTTCTGTCTTGTGTAAAGGCAGTTTTTAGCCCATGCGTGGCGTTGATCAGTCTACATAGCCTTTTGTTTCTCCTCTTGTCCATGTCGTATGGTGTTAGTTATCTATTATGTCTACAGCAGTGTGGTTTTCAACCTTTTTCAAGTAAGAGGTCGCCCTAGAAGAAAACGGACTGATAACATTAAAGCGCTTCTTAACAACACGGAATAGCAATAGCCATTACGGCCCATCAAGCAACTGATCGCAAAATTTCCTCCCCAGGAGTTGTCATTGATTACTTATTCAACCTTTTACCCCGAGAAGCTGCAAAACCGGCACAACGGGTTGGATCCAAATCCTCGTAAAAGTCACGTTTCCGACTTGCCTATAGCGACACGTTTACGAGACGCATAGCTGTTTCTTTTGGAGGTCATGATATAACAGCATTTACTAACAACAGCATTTATTGGATGATTCCTTTGAGCCAGAAAACTTTTCTAAAGCCAAGTTGACGATACATTTTCTCGTAACCTCAGTGATAGAGGTCAAAGGGTCACAGTATGAGTCTTCGGATACATATTTTTTTTCAGACCCCGGGGAATATATTCTCTTTAATGCCTGGTCCTGTTTATGTTCATTGATTACTCTCTTCATGTGATCATCATCATGTAGCAGGTCCTTTGCAGAAAGTCGCTCTCATCACGGTCTGCCTGAAAGAAACTCGGTCTTTCGCCAGTTCTCCCGCCTCATGTACTTACACATTCACGGAGTCACTTACATCCTGTGCCCATCTTCGTGCTGGTCGGTCTCTGTTCCTCCTTCCTGGTACCATGCCTTCTGTTATTATCCTGTGCCCATCTTCGGATCTGGCCGGCTCACTACACTCAGACGAAAGGCGAGACAGACCTATAACCAGATTGTGACCGGTACCATCAGTACTGGAACTCTGCGCTAGCTGCTAGAGAGGAGGACGGAGCATTCATGGGAATGCCCCGAGTGCTGTGATGTCAATTCTTGACTCAACTCAACTCAAGGTGTACAACTAAACATTTAAGCACGCTGACGTCTATGTTCATGTTTTTTTCAACAGATCAACATCAGGGCACACGGGTGTAATCAATCCATAAGTGCTCCGTTCTTCTTCTAACTCAAGTCTGAAGAATCTCAGCGCAGTGCCTCGAGACGACGCAGTCCCCTTTAAGCACACTGAGCTTTACTGCTCTCTCGCTCTCGCTATATCTCTCTCTCACTATCTCTCTCATTCTCTCTCTCTCTCTCTCTCTCTCTCTCTCTCTCTCTCTCTCTCTCTCTATCTCAATATATATCTCTCTCTCACTCTCTCTCTTTCTCTCCCTCTCACTCTCTCTCTATCTCTCTCACTCTCTCTCTTTCTCTCTCTCTCTCTCACTCTCTTTCTCTCTATCTCTCTCACTCTATCTCTCTCTCATTCTCTCTCTATCTCTCTCTCTCTCTTTCTCACTCTCTCTCTCTCACTCTTTCTCTCTCTCTCTAGTGGCTAATCTTTGGTACGAGAGGATAGTGACATTGGTTATAATCATCATCATCATCATAAACCACTTCTGCCGTTAAGCGTCGTGGGGAGGAATAATTTATTTGCGATCCAGTGCAAGTTGGCTGCCACTGGCTATTGTCATGCCGTTGAGGCGTAGTGTGTCTTTAATGTTGTCGATCCATGTTTTCCGCGGCCGTCCTCTTGCTCTTGTAGCTGATCTTCTGAGATGTAGTGCTTGTGATGGTATTTGCTCTTGCTGCATTCTAACGAGATGGCCAGACCACTTGACCTGCTGTTTCTCGATGAATCTAGTACAAGGTGTCGTTCCCACAATTTGCTTGATAGTTTCATTATTCACTCGATCTCGGATGGTTAGGTTGGCTGCTTTTCTCAGGCACCTCATCTCGCAGGTGGTAATTTTGCGTATATGGGCTTTAGATAGTGTCCATGTTTGGCACTGGTAGCTTAATGTTGGAATGAATATGCTATTAATAATCTGTCTCTGTGCACTCATAGTTATGCTTGGATGTCTTAATAATGGTGACAATTGGTATATAAGTGCACTTGCTTTCTGACATCTGGTTTCTATTTCTCTGTCAATTCTACCATCTTCTGTGATCATACTTCCTAGATATTTTAACTCCCTAACTTGATTCAGGGCAGAACCATTCAGCTGTATGTGTAGTGGGGCAGGGGTTCTACTAACTTGCATTGTTTCGGTTTTGTTTACATTGATCTTCATGTTGTATTTACTACATGCCGAGTTTAAACTGTTAATGTGGTATTGGTTCTAAATCAAATCATAACGGCTCGCTCGGCACTAGAAGGGTCAAAGTGGATATGCCAACTGTTGCACTAGTTTAGAAGTCCCCATGTGGGATGTTTGATATTTGAAGCCTCACTCTGGCTTCTGCCGGGGGCCCTAAATATGGCCGGGTCTTA